CGGGTCTGTTGGAGCGAGAATCCTTCAAAGGCAAATCTCAGAAACCCCATCCATCTCATACCCCCCCTCACTGTCAAACCGCAACGGATTCCCCCCAACCCTAAACCTACTCTCCACCACCTTCCCAGTATTAGTATTAAATATCCTCACACACCCCACCATCTCCTCCTCCCCTCCCTCTTTTCTGAACCCCACTCCCCTCCTCTTCACCAGCCCGTGATCAAACGCCACAGGCCCAACAACACTGCTCAAATTCCCACAATTTCCACCCATGTCCAGCACCCCGTCCTTGATACCAACCTGAACAAACGTGAAGTCCACATCTACATCCTTCCTGCTCGGGGGGGAAAGCACGCAGATCTTGGACGTGGACGAGATCCCCGATCCCATCCCGTCGAGTTGTCGACCATGAGGATCTGGGGAACCCATTACTTTGGGCAGGACGGAAGGCCAGTGAGATCGGGGAGGGAGGTCGTGCTCGAACATGACCAAACCGTTTGACGTCCCGCCGCGGGCGAAGATGGCGGGGAAGGAACGTTGGGGTGTTTGCCGGGCTGCTTCGAGGGGGAGGCGCACAAGGCGGGAGGTGATGGATTTTCTCATTGTGAGAGGGAAATGGGGTCAGTTGCCCGAGATTGTGTGATGTGAATTGAAAAGAGTGAAAATTCGGGGTTATTGGTTCCGCGACATGTGAACAGCTTTTCTCAGAGTGAAAGTGAGTCGTGGTAGTGGTGGTGGTGGTGAGTGGATGCTAGAACATGGAATCCCCTTTCCCAAACTGGTCCGGCAGCGTCAATTGATTGGATGTGATGGGAAAAAAACCACAACCCTAACCCTCTCCCGCTCCCTCGCTTTTTGCAGTTCGCCAATTCGACTTCCCCTAACCCCTGAATCAGATAAAAACGGCTGCCTGGTGATACTTCAATGCAGACGAACACCTACCAATTTCCTCAAGATATCCATTCAATTTGAGAGACTCGGACACAAATTCCATGAGCGAAATAATCATTCCCACCTACCATATATACACATAGGAATACTCCCCCCTTTTCCCCCTCCCTACAGAATGAACCTAACTAACCCTGAATCCAGCTAAGCAAGCGAAAAATAAAAGGTTCCCTCTTTCCTCTCTCAAAGATAGGTAGCAAACAATATATAAAAACAGAGAACAAAACAAACTTGACCATTCACGCCGCTACCCCCCTTCCTAAGATTACCCTACCCGTACCGCACCTCCCTAAGCAGCAGCAGCCCTCCCCCTCGTCGCCCTTCCAGACGTCCTAGTCGGCAATGTAGTCTGCTTCTTTGCCGCAGCCGGCGCCTTTTCCTTCGCAGCTGGTTTCGTCTTTTCCTTTTCCTTTGTGGCAGCAGCAGCTGACCTCCCCTTCCTTCCATTAGCCTTTGCCGGCGGTGGTGCTTCTTCCTCCTCCTCTTCTTCAACCTCCACCTCTGCCTCCTCTTCCTTTTCATCATCCGCCTCAACCTCCTGCTCTTCTTCCATCTCTTCTTCGGCTGTCTTCTCATCCGTCATTTCCACATCGCCCTCTTCGTCATCCTCTTCCACTTCCTCAGGTTCAGAAAGTTCACTGCTGTTCTCATCATCCCCTTTCTCCCCCTCATTCCCGGTCTCTACTTCGTCATCCGACCCCGCCTCCTTATCCTCCTCGCCATTCTCATATGCCCACTCCGCCACCCCATCCAGCATTTCCTCATCATCTTCTGACGAGTCCCGCTCCATGTAGGACTGATTGCCCTTTGCCATTGACCTTCCCGAGCGACGCCTATTGGCATCTGAAATTGCCGATCTCTTGGGGGAGGATGGTGCCTTTTTCGGCTTGGAGGGCTTCTTGGGTTTGGGCGTGGCAATTTTCCGTGCTTCTTTGATCCTGGGCTCTTTGGGTTGGACTCGGGATTTCTTGGCTGCTGGACGGGATTCAGCGCTGCCATCAGTGGTTGATTTGCGCTTCTGATTTATTGTTAGCACCCGTGCCAGTAGAGTAGAGACAAACAAACATACCTTCTTGCGATCCATCGCCCTAAGCAAATCATCCAACTTCTCATCAATCTCATCCGGCACCAGCACCTTCTCCGAAATCTCCTGCGCCTCCGTGTGCGACTTGAGAGGACCATACAGCCCCTTCGGCAGCCCAACCTTGTCAGGCCAGGCATTAAACGTCCAGTTCTTCTTCTCCTGCCATTTGCGAATGACTGCTTGAGTCAAGTCACACAAGACCCGATGGCCGGTGCTCTTCGGATTAAGCGCATCCTGTGTTTGCTTCGCACGCTCCGCATACTTGGACAGCAACCCCAAATTGGACTCAGTGGCAACCAAGCTGACGTAAAAGAGAATATACCTCGCGTGATCAACCAGCTCATCCGGATCAGAGCTATAGTCTGGATGATGCGCAAGGAGCGAGAAGAGACGGGGGAGAACAGCCTCGAGCACATGCTGGTGTGTGCCCTCATAATGCCGCGCTCTTGACCGAACCCAAGTCTCGGTCCTCAACTTGAACTCCGCGTTGGGCTCAAAGGCCATCGAGAAGATCATGGTATAAAACCGGGTCCGCAGCCTGTCATCGGCAAGATACTTTTGCAGTTTCCTCACAAAGCCGTGGCGGACCTCCTGAGCAGCGTCCTGTGTGGTCAAGGCCAGCGTGTTGAAGTCTTCAGGGATGAGCAATTCGTCGAAATGCTTCTGAATGCAGAGCTTGAGGATAAGCTGAGCAGCAAGCAGCCGCAGCCGGGATTTGTGATGCTTTGGTGTGTTTTTGGTTTTGGTCATCTCGCCCTTGTTGTGAACCAGCGAAATAAGCATCTTCCAGATCTTGGCTCCGTTTTCCTTTGCCTCATCGGCTTCCATGCTCCTCAGCTTGTTTGCCAGAGACTTGAGCGCCAGACACTTGGCTTGGCACTCCTCCTCTAACTCAGCATCGTCCACCCACTCTGGGTCCTTGTCGCCGGCCTCCGTTCGCACCTCGAGAAGGATCTTCTGGATCATTTCGAGGATCTTATCCTCTGCGTCCTGGGCAACCTTTGGGGCAAGGAGCTCGAGCTGGCTCACGGCCGAGAGCTTGTTGAGAAAGTGCTTGGAACCATACGTCCAGTCCTTGAAAATGCGCTGAAGAAGATCCTGAGCATACACAGTGCTCTTGCTGTCCTGTTTCGACAGCAGGATATTCACGGCATGCTTGGCCACCTTTGGCGGTTGGCCATACAAGGCGAAGCTGACCAAACTGTGGACAAAGTCCTGGTCCATAGGAACATCCTTTGGATACTTTCTGGCATATGTCGAACAAGCCTTCAACGTTTCCGCAACAGACGGGTCGTTCTCCCGGTTCTCGGTAGGCGCCTGATCCACCAGATCCTTGCAGAGCTGGCCGATGTGTGTCTTGAAAAGATCAGGGTTGCGTTGTGAGATTTCATTCAAAACCTCATGTGCAGCGCTGCCCAAGCCATCCTTGTTAGACTTGGAGTAGTCCATGATGGTGGCCAAATGGCTGCGGTTGAAGATGAAGCGGCCAGATCGGTAGAGGATGGGAAGCAGTGTCTCGTGAATTGTCGAGTCCTTCCCACCCTGAATCCGCTTGATGAGTTCCTTGAGAGCGTTGTGGACTGTCTTGAAATCATGCTCCTGCCCGATGATATATCTGACAAGCCCACGATTCCGCCGATCGTTGGCCTTGGCGAATTTCAGCAGATCTTGAACACTCTGTGGGGAGTTTGGCAAGAACTGCGCGATATACCGGACCGTCTTGTGAAGGTTGGCCTGTTTCTTGTCCGCGTTGTCATCCATGACACCCCCGTTGAACAGCTCGCATTGCTTGATGTATGTCTCGAGGATCTGGGCGAACTGTGGCTGCCTCGCTTGCAAGGCGAAGAAGGCTTTCTTGGCCATTGGGTCGAGAGATCGCACAAGAAGCAATATCCTCTCTGCTCTGATAGCATCAGCATCCGCGGCGGCGGCGGCGGCGGCGGCAGCAGCGTGTGATTGTGAGCTTCCATTCGCAGACTTGGAGGTCTTCTTTGCTGGCGGGTAGTTCAGAGGGATCAGGCACTCAAAGATGACGCGGTCCAGCAGGGCATTGACCTCGGCATCATTGGCATAAAATGCATTGTAGATGCGGCTTGGAACACCGTCGAGCGCTGCAGTCACGGCCTCATTTCCAGCAAGCAGTTCCCCAGTTCCAACGGCCCAAAGTTTTCCCAACAAGGACATGGCAGCCACCCTCACAGCCGGTCTTCGGTCACGACAACGGTCGGCCAGAGTTGACAGAATGGATCCCTCTCTGGACACGCCCCCGTTGGGCCCCAACTTGAGAATAACATCGCGGAAGCCAAATGACTCGATCGCCTTAACAGCTGCCAGTCTGACCTTCTCATCGCTGTCTGAGAGCTTCTCCCCAAGGCCTTGGATCAGGGTAGCCTCGTCTTCACGACTGAGCCCGATGCCACCGGCAGACGTTGACAAAATATATCCTACTGCCGTCGTCCAGGCAGCTCTGATGGCTGAGGCTTTGTCGTTTTTCCTGCTGAGGAAATTGTGGAAAACCAAACTGTGTGTTTGCGGGAAGGACATGGCAGAGAGTGGCTTGGTGAAAGTGTTCAGTCCCTGAACTTCAACATTCTCCTCGGCGTCCATGCTGAGTGGTGGGTAGGCAGCAGGATCCAGAACCGGCGGCGGTGGTGGCCCTGCAGCACCAATTCCCGATATCATGTCTCCCAATGTCTCCGTTGCCAGTTGGCGTAAATGCACATTGTCGGCTGATAATTCGGCATCGACCTGAGGAACAACATTTTGGAGAACCTGAGGTGCCGCTTTCCATAACTCCCGAATCAAATCGTGTGCCTTGCTCAACTCCTTCAGATCCGATTCAGAGGGTCCAGATGGGCCCTCGTCGCCATCCTCGTCATCAGCTCCCTTATGTCCGCCGGGCCTAGCGGCAAACGAAGTAGCGTCAACAATAACGTCGCTGAAATACTGGCTGACGAACCTCGCCATTTTGTCGGGGAATGTCTGGCACAAGTTCTTGGCTATTTGGTAAGCCTCGGGCTCATCCTTAGCCAAGAGTGTCGCTTGATTGTCGTCGATTTGCACATGGTCGCGCCTCCTCCTGCCCGCCCCGGGGCCAGCTGCTCTTAGAAACTGGGCCATGATGATATCCACGACCTTTGCTGGAAGAGTGGCGGCCTCATCTATCAGCACCCCGAGCATTTCGGCCATGCTAAACTCGACATCCTTTGCCACTTGCTCTCCCGAAGCTGACTTGACCCCTGATACACCGTCGAATATATTGGAAAAGAGGGCGAGGAGGAGGCTGTCGCTGCCGTCCACATCAAGCAAAAGAACGACACTCTTGATTTCGGTGAGAGATCTAAGGACATATTTGTGCTGTGTGTTGTATGGATTCGAAGGGTCGAACAAGGCTGGAATGATAGATGTGACGGTAAGGTTAAAAATGTCCTGGCTTCAGATTAGCAGCAGTAAATACACCACCGAGACAGCAGCCCATACCTTCATCTGGGTGGGGGTAAAAGGCGCATCGGGTGCGCATAGTCTAAGGATATCAACAACACAGCAAGCGGCATATGCTCGTACACCCTTGTCCTTGTGGCTCAGTATTTGATGTGATGCGACCTCTTTTGCAACCTTTGTCAACGAATTTGGGTCGACGACTTCTTGGTCGAGCTCCTCCAGCTCTTTGGACAGGGTGTTGAGATGCTTGAGCAGCTTGTCAAGGGGAATTGGCTTGCCAGGACGCCATGTCAGCGACTCGTTGAAATGCAGCGCGACGAGCTCGGTCTCGGATTCCTCCTCTTCCACCTCTTCCGCAGCACTCCGGCGAGGCGCCATGATGCGCGATAAGTTCCGACTACTCGGCTGGGTCGATGGATTCTGTGTGTTGATGGATTGGAGTGCTGTTGACGGCCGACCGACGTTCTGAAGCGGGGACGGCAAAACAGAGCACGCGTGTGTTACCGCAAATTATCGAGTGCTGTTCGCGATTGGCGATTGGAGATGGTTCGCGGTTTGTTTCGGCCGAGACGGCCGAGGGATCGCAGCGGCGTCGTCTCCAGAGTCCAAATGAGAATAGTGTCGCTATTGCTGTTCGTGCCGTCGTGGGTCGTGGGTCATACGTCGTAAGGGATGGTGTTTTCGTCGGCGAGATTATGGGTAGGGACAAGGTATGGTTGAAGGTCTGTGGTACGCGATGCCAGGCGCGTAACATTTGGGGTGCATCAAATCGTGGGGGCTGCCAAAATTTCTTGGCATAATTATGCTCCGAGCGGGAAGCTCCAGTTCTCTTTCACACAACGCACCATACAACCAACATTTAGCCTCCTAATCTCAATGCCAGCCTGAGCTACTACCTAGTACAGCCTAGCAGTCGTGGCGGGAATGTGGCATAAAGTTTATCGTCAAAATCATGAACTCTCCTGGTATCATATCTCGTTCCCAACGGCCCATATCAACATCATCATTGGTAGCTCGTATGCAGTCATCGTGGATTCCACAAAAGACTCTCTTCATTCTCCTCTATTACCACATTGAACATGTGCATGGACTGTGGGCATGGCGAGGTCGGGACGTGACTTCCTTTGTTGAACTATTCCTGTGGGTCTTGGCGCTGCTGCCTCAGGTACCCGAAACTGAGTGAATGGCCGATGACATCCGATGAGAAGGTGCGATGGGCAACTTCATTGTGACTGAGATGATATCACTCTATTTTCTTCATGAAGTCTACGTTATGCGTCAAACTCAAGGAGTGCCGTTTTGAGCATGAGGCTCTATTCAGGTCTTGGCATATCAGGGGCTAAAAGGGGGTGTTCCTAAAGGAAGAATTTCTGCGAATACAGACTTCCTCCTTCCAGTCACCTTGAGTTCTAGCAACAATTTCAAGCTACGCTTGATCAGGACCTTGTATACAAGACAACATGCTTTAGAATTTCAACTCTTGTGTTACTGTGTTAAAAATACCTCTGTTTCAGCACCACCGTTTGCAGAGGTTGGGTAGGTAACAGAAAACTTCAGGTGAATGACACTTACATGGTAGCCATTCTCTTTGATCCAATAGAACGTACAGTACTAAGTGAGGGCAGATGGGTCAAGACCGGCAAGGCAATGGTGTGGTTGAGCTCAGAATCGACTGCTTGGAGTCTTTCTCCGTGACCAAGCGCCTGAAGGCTTCCGAGACCCTGGGCAACGAGAGCTACCTACCTGTCCATGCCTGTCTATGGAGGCTCTTTGTGATGGCCGTGTGGTGTTGGAGCTCAGATGATAGCCCTATTTTGCTCTTTCCTTATTTGACCAACCAGGTCCCACGACCCTAATTCCATCCCAGGTTGACAAAATTGCCCATTGACTTGCTCCCTGAGTGGCCGTGACCCAGCTGACATTCACCAGTTCCCTGTTTTCGACCTCGGCCCGGTTTATTTTGCTGTCGTCGTAGCATCCATTTCCGCCTTTCCCTCTCCCCTCACCACAATAACTTCAACTCTTCACCACTCGGCATTTCACCACAACCACTCTTTCGCCTCCGTGACTAGCATTCTTGTTCTGACAATCCTGTCCAGCATCATTCTTGAATAGTCAAGAATCCGGTATGTATGATGCTATTGTCTTCTATCCCGCCCACCGCATCGTTGGGGCGACTGCTGTAGCTCGCTGGGAGCGGCTCTGTCCCGCCCAGCAAAGCATTCTGCCCACCTCATCTGCCCATACAATCCCCTCCCCTCCTTCTGCACCCTGCTTCCACTCGCACCACCTCACCCAAACCCCACCTAAACTCAGCAGCACGCGGCTCTCCTCAAAACAGTTCGTTGTTTTCCTTCTGCCCTGCGACTCTCACCTTTACCCAACCATCCTGTCACCCATCTACTTGGTCATTCACCATTGCTAACTGCAACCACCACAAACAGTCACTCGTTATCCCATCTTGAGATATTCGTCATGATTTTCACCACCCGCAAGACCATCGGCCACCGTGCCTCCATCCTCAAGTCGATGATCGGTTTGGCTCTCTGTGCTGTCCCTGTTGGTAAGTGATGGTCTTAAAATTGAATCTTTTCTTCGACCTTCGATAGCTAACATCAGTCGCAGTCGCCGGTAGCAATGGCATCGTCGCCCGCGGTGATGAGGTCCAGGCCGGCACTCTCTGCACTACCTCTTCCATCAGTGTTCCCGTAGTCACTGCAATCTCGTAGGTCGCAGCCATTGCTTTTTGTGGCCATATATTTATCAAAATGTTGACCATCTTCTCCTTTCAGCTCCACCGAGTCGAGCTGCACTGGCGGGTCCGTCACCGTCACTGTGACCGTCACTACCCTCAACAGCGATGACCCTATGCAGACCGCCGGCCCTCCCTTGTCTGGCTCTCTGTCCAGTGACGATAATATGGTCGGCACCGTCACAGAGACTGTCACTTCCACCGGCACAATCACCGAGACCGCCATGGACTCTACGAGCACCGACGTCGAGACCACCACAACCTCTGATCATGGTTACCTTCCGTTTATCGGTTCCATTTCCTCCATTCCCGAGCAGCCCAGCACTGTCAACACAATCTCGAGCACCAACACTGCCACCAGGACTCTGACTGACACCGTGTCTCTGTCGGCCAACTCGACTGTCTATGTGAGCACGACCGTCACTGTCGCCACTGTCACAGTCAGCGGCACTGCGGGCACAGTTGGCACCATTCTCCCCTCTCTTGGACACGGTAACGGGAACAGCACCTTCACCTACTCTGTCCCCTCGACTTCGGTCTACCCCTCGTCCGGCTCTGCCAACAATGGTGGCGGCCGTGGTGCTCAGGTCTGGTACTGCATTGTCATGGTCGTTGCTGTGCTGGGCTATACTCTCTAAGCAGTCATGAAAATCATGGTCATCAGTTAGGGGTATCTCTCAGTGATAGTAGATAGCATATTTGCGTGGTGCTATTTCGAGCGGGAGTTGATAGAGTTGTGCCTGAATAACTCGAGTTAGGTAGTCGGCAGAAATACATTGGGTGGTTGCCCAATGAATAATATCGTGCATCAGTGTTCTGTGATGATTTGAAGTGTTATGGGATTAGTGATGATCATTCTTGATGCCTGCTATGAGTCCTGCCAAAGTGAAGTCTATGCCACCAACCGCCCAAGTCAATATATCGACGTGCTTTCCTCGAGGATCATGATGATTTACCCTGGAAACAACCGTGGATTAAGATGGAGGCTAACCACGGGGGTCTTAACGATACAAAATCCTTTTTATCTGCCACTCACCTCTCTTCTGTCGCCATTCAAAGTGAATCATCAACAAATCACTAGCAAAATGATGAAGTGAGGTTAACGCCAAGCCTCCTCTGCCCAGCGCAGCGGTTAAAAGCGGGTCTCTCCCCCACACTGTGGACCCCACGTAGGCGATTGGCATCCTCTGGCTCCAGATTTTTTTTCAGTTGAAGCTTTGCGATAAGCAGCAGCCATCCATCATCATCATCAACACCAGGAAAACGCATCACCCCCCCCAAACAAACCAATTTCCGTTTCCAGCGCCTGTCGCACCTCCCCCAACATCTCATCAACTCAGTGACACCTTCTTAATTAAATAATACACCCACCGCCAAAATGCGCGCCCTAACAGACGAAGAAATGAAGACGGTCCTCGACAAGGTACTTTCCCTTCCCCATCATCCTCCCGGGACAATTCACTGACATGGACTGTGATTGATAGCTGGCAAACTACATGTCCGACCTAAAATCCCTCATCGCCCCCCTCGAAGACGGCGACCGCTACGTCTTCCGGCTCAACCACTCCCGTGTCTACTACGTCAAGCTCTCCATCGCCAACCTCGCCACCTCCATCTCCCGCGACGCCCTCCTCTCCCTCGGCACCTGCCTGGGAAAGCTCACAAAGACGGGTAAATTCCGCCTCCACATCACCGCCCTCCCCATCCTTTCCCAGGGCGCCCGTCACAAGATCTGGATCAAGGAGAACGGTGCCCAACCCTTCCTTTACGGATCAAACGTCGTCAAGGCCCACGTCGGGAGGTGGAGCGAGGATTGCCCTGAGCATCAGGGGTGCGTGGTGTACAGCATGGCGGATATCCCGCTCGGGTTTGGCGTCACGGCGCGGAGCACGACCGAGGCGAGGAGGTTGGACCCCACGGGGGTGGTGTGCTTTAGGCAGGCGGATTGCGGCGAGTATTTGAGGGATGAGGATACACTTTTTGCTGGTTAGGTTTGGGGGGAGAGAGAGAGATGATACCCGTGGGGGAGTGGGAACATGTATGGTAAATAAAACAGGGGGCGTCTTGGCGTTTGTTACTAAATCATGTTTGCGTCTTTGGCATATATGCGAATCTGCATAAAAGGGACAGCAGCCTCTTCTTCGTTGCCGAATCATGTGTGTGTGTGATGCTTCTATCTTTGTCTTGTCTATATCCATCCGCTCTTCACAACCCAACCAACAAGGCCAAGATATCAAAAGCAAAAACGGAATATTGCCCATCATCTACTTACCCTCCTCCCCCACAATCTTGACCTCCTCCACAAACCTAACCTGCTGCCCCTCCTCCTTCTTCCCCCTCATGACCAACCCCTCCTCCTCCAACTCCTTATCCTCCGCCTCCAACCTCCTCTCTTCCTGCGCCGGCGTCCCCGCCCCCCTCCTCTTGGGCGTCACCATCCCCGCCAGGTTAACCCCGCTCCCCACCGGCGTAACCGGCCTGCTCACCCCCCCGCCGTGAAACCCGCTGAAAAAACTGATGCTCTCCCTTTGCGCGACATACTCGCTGTCCATGTACCCCAACAACCCCGGAATCTCACTCGTGTGCTTCCCCTTGATCCTGCTCACCTCCGCGCTCGAATAATTCGTCAGACACCTCCCCACCTCCTGCGGTTGCTGCCCAGGGTGTTTCTTATCCACGACACAGATCCGGACCGCTTCCTGCTGGTGGAAAGTCCCCTCCACGTCGACAACTCCGACGGGTAAAAGACCGGCTTTGTTCAAAAGGGCCTTGTAGCAGCCCGTGTCGATGAACAACGTGCCGTGGGGGCGTAAACCGTGCAGGATCCAGAAGTAGCGATCCCTGACTGGGTGAGGGGAGGGAAGGAAGCGGGTGTGGAGGGGAATGGCTGGTTTCTTGAGGGAGGAGGTGGAGGAGGACATGATTTCTGGAGTGTCGCCCTCCTCCGAGTCGGAGCCGGATTTGGACGGAGAGCCGGGGGACCGGGAGGACTGGATGTATTTGACAATGTTGACAATGTTCCCCGGGTTGGATGATTTGGTAATGACTGTTGTCACCCCCGCCGAGGTGGCCAGTCTGGCAGCGACGATCTTGGTGGACATTCCCCCCGTCCCGAGGGAGGAGCCGGCCGTTGAGACGTCTGCTACGAGGGAGGAGATGTCCTCTACTACTTCGATTGGTTGGGCGTCTGGGTTCGTCCGGGGGTTCTTGTCGTAGAGGCAGTCGACGTCTGTCATGAGGAACAACAAATCGGCGTGGACCATGGCGGCTGTGACGGCAGAGAGGGTGTCGTTGTCACCGAATTTGATCTCGGAGACGGCGAGGGTGTCGTTTTCGTTGACGATGGGGATGACGCCCATGTCGAGGAGCTCGTTGATTGTTCTTTGGGCGTTGAGGTAGCGTGATCGCTAAAGGGGGAGGGTGTGTAAGTGGTATGTTACACAAGGGGGGGAAATAACCAGCAAGGTAACTCACATCAGCGATATCATTCCTTGTAAGAAGAATCTGGGCGATGGGCTGTCTGAGGTGGTTGAACAGGCTGTCCCACAGGCTCATGAGCCTGCATTGGCCAATGGCTGCCAGAGCCTACATTACAGGCATGTCAGCCTCGGGTCCTTCTTGTGAGAGGGGATGAGTCAAGACAAACCTGTAGTTTGGAAAGATGCTTTGGTCTCTTTTCTACGTCCATTCTCCGGAGACCAACACCGATGGCTCCTGAAGACACAATAATGACTCTGTGGCCATCTTTTCTGAGTTTGACTGCTGTCTCGACGATCAACGTCAAGATGGAGAGCAAGGGTTCATGGCTCTTCTCGTCGACGATGGAGCTGGTTCCTGGTGTTGAGGGTTTGGTGTTAGTCAGAGGATTCACATCCAATAATTGGCTCAGACGGACACACTCACCCAGCTTGATCACGACGCCAAGTGGACGAGGACCCCTCATGGCTGGATGTTTATAAGACAACGGTAACAAGTTAGTGGGTATGAACTAAGAGTGGAGAGGTGAGATGAGGCATGAGAGTATGAAAACTCAAGAAGGGCTGTCCTTACACGACTCGGAATCGGCCTCCATCATCTTTATAAAGGGAAAGAAAAAAAAAGACCACTTATACTCGGCAACAGAGATCAGCTTTCCTTTCCTAGAGCGTTGCGTGTTGCCGTCGTATTTTGGACGCCTGGGCAGATGCAGCTCAACCGTGGTTGCATGGAATCCCAGACACCAAGTGGAGACCCCTTTTTCCCCTTCCCTCTTCTTTGCTTGGGCAATCCTCGAGAGTCAAAATGTTTGTTTGGTGTTGGATGATTGGTCCGATGTCGGGAGGAGGGGCAGCCCGGGCGGTGACTCCACACACCGACGCCTTTTGACCGCGCCCTTTGAAAGTTACCGAGCCATTATTCTGCCCCTCTGTCTCACCGCCTGCTCGGGACTGAAAGCAGCGAACAAGGTTCTCCAGCTCAACAGGCCTTGGCAGCTCAGTTCCTGGGCAAAGAACCAGGGGCGCATTTCCATTTCGAACAGCTTGTGATATCGAGATCACATTTCAAGATATCTCGCCTTTTTCTACGCGCCAACACACCGAAATTCCAATTGGACCTATTCAGCTTCACAAATCCAATTCCCCAATTCATCATGTCCTCCCAACCACCACCACAACCATCACCACCCACTACCACCACCACATCCCCAGACCCAGCCGCCTCATCCACCCCCCCATCACAACCACAACAACCCCCCGGCTACCTCACCAACGACCCCAAACGCACAGGCTACGACCCCTCCTTAGCCTGGTACTTCAACTACTTCCGCATCCTCACCGGCCGCGTCACCCGCGAAGGCATCGAGCACTACCGCGAAGACCGCTACAAAGCCAACGAAGCCCGCGACTGCGCCCGCTGCGAAGCAGACCGCGACTGGCTCTTCCAGCACTCCCCCGTCGTCCGCTACCTCCGCGAAAAAGCTGCCGCCCTCAACGGCGACCTCGGCCCTCACAACGTCGTCTGCCGTCGCTGCCCGGGGAGAATAGCCGAAGATGGCACCGTGGTCCGTCAGACGGGAGGTTTCAGCCCAGATCACGGAATCCTCCTGTGCGCAAATGAGTTCAGAGACAGGAGTCATCTGGAGGACACACTGGCGCATGAGATGGTGCATGCGTGGGATCATCTCAGGTGGAAGGTGGATTGGATGGGGGGTATGGATTTGAAGCACGCGGCTTGTACAGAGGTTCGTCTCCCCCGCTGTTTTGCCCCCTTCTTCTCTCGGGTACTTAATGACACTGACACACTAAAAAAACAGATCAGAGCCTCCATGCTCAGCGGTGAATGCCGCTGGACGCGAGAAACCATAACCCGAGGAAACTGGACCCTCACCCAACAATTCCAAAACTGCGTCCGGATGCGAGCCATCCAATCCGTCATGAACAGACCAACGTGTAAAGACGACGTCCAAGCCACCAAAGTCGTCAACCAAGTCTGGGACTCTTGTTTCAACGACAAGAGACCATTTGAAGAAATCTACAGGTAAAACATCTCGTAAATGTAGAAAAGAAATTGTAATTAAAAAAAAAAAAGGATTAGAATTAAACACACAACCCCCCGCTACGCTATGCAATTGTTTAACCAGTGAATCAAGAGGACAAAACCCCCCTTCCCTTTCCCGTTTGATGTCCCTCCTCCCCCCCCCCCCCAATCCTCAACGCCCATATACTTGTACTTTGACCGTCATGTCATGTAAAATACCCCATCACTTTTGAAATAAACAAACCAACAACTTTGACACACCCCAACCCCAAGTCTGTGAACGATCAAGACTTCCCAAAACTCAACTTCTCCCGATTCGACGCCCTCTCCCCCTTGACGCAATGCTTGATAATCCAAGGATGATTCTGCACCTCCTCCAACGGCAACCGCTTTTCCGGATCCAGTACGAGCAGCTACATTACATCTGTCAGTATCCCATACTCAAAACATGAGAGAGCAAAAAAAACTCACCTTCTTAATCAAATCCCTCGCCTCCTTACTAACCCACTCAGGAATCGTCATATCCGCCCTCGCGATCCTCTTCTGCGTCATAATCGGCGTGTCCTCAAACGGCGCCTCCCCCACCAAAAACTCATACGTCAACACCCCCAAACTCCACAAATCCACCTTTTCATTATACCAATTATCCTTACTGCCCGACTTGATCATCTCGGGCGGTAAATAATCCAACGTCCCGCAAAGCGTCTTCCGCCTATTATTCGGCGCGTGCACTGACCACCCAAAGTCCGAAATCTTAATCTCCCCGTGAATGCCCATCAGGATGTTCTCGGGTTTGATATCCCTATGAATCACATGCTTCCTGTGCAGATACCTCAGCGCAGACGCCATTTGCGCGATATACTGCGCCGCTTTCCACTCGGGGAACCGACTTTCCTTCTGTAGGTGCTTGTACAGCTCGCCCTTGCCGGCGAATTCCAATATCAAAAAAATTCGCTTGCTGTCGTGAAAATGGCCGTAGAGCTTGAGGATGTTTGGGTGTCGGAGGTTGGACTGGATCTCGATTTCGCGGCGGACTTGTTTTTCCACGCCGGTGCCGTGTTGCAGTTCGGATTTGTAGAGAACCTTCAGAGCGCAGATGAAGGAGGATGTTCTCTCGCGGGCGAGGTAGACGCGGCCGAATTTGCCTTTTCCGAGGGGACGGCCGATTTCAAACATGCCGAGGTGGAATTGTTTTGGTATTAGAGGGGCGTCGACGTAGGAGGAGGTGGAAGACGAGGAGGAGCGGCCGTCGTTGGTGAGGACGAGTTCGTCTGACTGGCGGGAGGATAGAGAGGTGGTGGATTTGTGTTTGGTTGGGGAGGGGATTTCGTTGTTGTTGTTGTTGTTGGTGGTGGTGGTGGTGTCCTTTTCCCGCTGCTTGTTGGGGATGGCGGTGGAAGCGCTGGTCGTGGGTTGCTTGCGCTGGGCGGCCTGGGAGGGGAGAGTGACGGTGGCTGTTACCGTGTTGGCGTTTTGGGGCTGGAGGGCGACTTTGAAGAGGTTGGGCCGGCTGCTGCTATGGGAGAGTTGTGAGGCAGAGGAGGCGGTGACGGTCTATGTTTTGTTAGAATTGATGCCACAAAAATCATGTCCATGTCAAGCGCACCTTTGCCTTCTGATATGTCGATGTCGTTGTCGTCCCAATGGTCTCAAACGGGTCGTTTTCGTCCTTGACAGACATCCGCTCGAAGCGGGACTCCAATGTTCTCGAGGCCATTTTTGCAATGTGTGACAGTCAATGTCAACAGAGACCAAGAAGAGAAAAACAAAATATGTAGCGGGGAGGAAGAGAAGAAGAGGAAAAGATACCAACACCAGACGTGGAGGTGTAGGTATGTGGTCGCAGTCGCAGTCGCAGTCTGTTGCGTGTCCGGCCGGTTGTCGCATGGACAGAGATCCAGGATGTCGGGGCCAGCTTTAATGGGGGTCAATTTGGGCAGTTTGGGCGCAGCGGGTTGCTAGGCAACCGGGTCTTGACAGCCGCCCCACTTTATGGTTGGGCCAGCACACCAATAACCCTAACCTGGTTTGAGGTTGGCAGGGAAGACGGCGCTTCGGCTTGGTTTCAATGACAGGAGCCCGGTTTCTTTTGGTACCTGGCTCCATTGAGATCGAGATGCCTTGGAAGTCGTCTGTCCGCAGGATATCTAGAGCATCTCGGATTTATCACTTAAAGTATGAGTGGGTATGTCGCAGAGAACAGACCATGCAAGAATACCCTCCCTGAAAATGAGTATCTTCAATATGAAAATCGGCTACTTTGAAACTATTTTGAAGTGAACTACCTTAGCTAGGTAGCTAACAGGTGACAGTCGTTTTGGGAGCGGCATTTGACTTTCTCCGCAATTTGCAACGGCTCTGCCCCGCGGATAACTGCCCCACCAAGACTTTGGGTTCCTGAATTGCATCTGCAACTCCAAAGCTACAGCCTCACCTCTCCAAACTACATATTTTGCCCATTCGACCACAAGCCCGATCACCTCAAGACGAACTTCGAATTACAACTCAAACCCACGAAACAAACACCCACGAAACAAACACCCACGAAACAAACAAACACCCCCGACTCCAACCACCGAAACCGCTTCTACCTCAACCCCCCCGGATACCCAACAATGGACCCCCCACCACCACCATCCTCCTCCTCTACCACCACTCACCCCTCAACAACACCAACCACCTTCCCATCAACCAGCTTCCTCCCTCCCCCCTCCAGCATCCCCCGCCCCCCATCCATAGTCCAACCCCCACCCCGCACCTTCACCCACCCCCCCTTCACCATGACAACACTCAAAGCCCCCATCCTGAAATCCACCCCCATCGACCTCCTCCAGTCCCGCCTCGGCATCCCCATCCCCGAAATGATCTTCGGCGACAACCACCTCACCCTCCACCACACCCCCACCGCCTACACCCTCACCTTCACCCCCGAACCAGCCCTGGACCTAGTAGACAAAACCGGCTCCACCGGCCTCCTCAAAGTCCACTATGCCACCGCCTGGTCAGCCACACGAGAGAAAACCTCTGCTGGAATCAAAGAGGTGGTCAAGCCCTTCGATTGGAGTTACACCACCTCCTACCGCGGAACCGAAACCCCCGGTTTGGGAGGACAAAAGTTGCAAAGGGATGACAAGGCGAGGATACCAGTCGAGCTGTTACAGAGACGAGACCCGATATTGTTCGCTGATGAGGTTGTGCTCTACGAGAGCGAGCTGGATGATAACGGGGTCAGCGTCTTGACTGTTAAAGTCAGGGTGATGGAGCAGAGGATGTTGGTGCTCTGCAGGTTTTTTCTGAGGTTGGATAATGTTTTGGTTAGGGTGAGGGATACGAGGGTTTATGTTGATTTTGGGGAGGAGAGGGTTGTCAGGGAGTATACGGCTCGGGAGGGTGAGTTTGCGGAGGTGAAGAAGGTGAGTTTGCTGATCTGGTGGGAATGACAAGGGGGTTTTGCTGACGGAAGATAGAAATTATACATGGAGGGTCTGATGCCTGATCAAATCACCATTGCGTTCAGGGATGCAAACCAGATTGCGCATTTGCTCCCCGTGGTGGAGCATGAGGTTGAGAGTGTTTGTCTCGAGGGTGAGACGGGGCAGACACAGGAAGGTAGGTGATGGAAGGGGGGAAAGATGCCAATTGAGAAATGATTTATGAATGAATATTTGCCTGGCACATATCTTGCTCACTTGAGAAGTAGCAAGTTGGGTGATGTGTATAATTTGTGTATCCAGCTATGTGCAGCTAATCTGGTATGTAATCCCCGAAGAAAAACTCCAAGCTAATGCGGTCGTCGAGGCAAAGTAGTGATATTAACGACTAATAAACCCCCATAAGTACCCGAGTTGTAGTCAAGCAACCGCTATTCCCGCCCCCCCATTCCGTGTTCATCCAGCTATGTAGTGCAAAAACAAAGGTATCAAATCGTCCCATCCCATTTCATCCCAGCACAAACCCAACAGTTTTGCCTTTCCCATTCCAACCGCTCGTTTAAATGATGAAGAATCAACGAGCATCCCTCATCGGACTACTGCTCCCCTCCACCTCCTCAAACGACAGCTCCCACTGGTCCACCTCCTTGAACTTCTTCACCGCCTTTTGCAGCTCCTCACCCAATCTCTCCTTCAGCATCACCGTCGTCTCCGCTTCTGGGAGCTCCTCCTCTTCCTCGTCCTCTGGCTCATTGCTGCCGCTACCGACAACGATACTATCGCCTTCTCGGTCACCGTCAACATCACCATCATTCTCCTTCTCCTGTTCGTGAGCCTTGGAGCCATAGGTCCTGGTAACGCGCTTCTTCTTCCCCTTGGGATCAGCAGCCACAGCAGACTCTTTTTGCTTGCCCTTATTGGCTGTTGACGCAGTCTTGGAAAGGGGCTTCTTGGCTGCCCTCCTCGTGGGCGGCGGAGCTTCCTCCTCCTCTGAGGCTTCCCCGTCGTCGATATCGAACGGATCGGCACTGTGGGAGCCCTTGCGGTTCTTATTCTTGCTCGAGGTCTTTCTTCGGGGAAGGAGAGATGCGAGATCGGCTGAGCTCTTGGGTGGTGGTGGAGCCCTTTTCTTGACGACTGGGGGTTTGGATTTCGCACGGTAGTTTGGCGAGTGTGTGAGGGAGGGAGGGGAGGAGATATTCGATCCCATGCCATCGTCTTCCAGCTCTGGGGTCTTGGACGGCACAGTTCGCGTGTTGTATTTTCTCTGCGCGAGCGCATCCAGTGAAGGCCATGCGACCGGGCTACCAGCCTCAGAGGCTGGGCTGCTCGACAATGGAGGGGCCATATCCGGATCATTGTCCTCGCTCAACTGTGGCGGGGCGGAAAGCTCCCGGGGTGGCGTAGACAGAGGCGAGGAAATTGGCGGCTGCTCGTCAAGTTCGATAGACTGGTGAACATCCCCATCTTGTTGTTCCCTCGCAGGCGACTCAACTCTCGGTTCCAACTCAGCATCAATATCAAAGTCCAAATCCGGCCCATCTCCACTCCCCATCTCCATATCGCCCCCGTCCACCGCCAACCTCTTCTCCCTCCCATCCTCATGGCTCTCCAAACTCTTCCTCTTTCTCGACCCAGCCGCAACCGGCGACCCATCCACACTCTCCACCCCCCTCGACCGTCCCCTCGTACTCCTCCTCTTCCCCCCATCAACAGGCGAAACCTCCCCCTCATCCTCCCTCCCAAGCACCTCTCTATTCCTCCCCGCCTGGCTCCCCCGCGAAACACTCCTGACCCTCCTCTCCTTCCTCCCCGTCCCAAGTATACTCGGCTCCCTCTGCCTTCTCTTGAACCTCCCAAAGCTAATGGTCGTACTAATACTCGGCGTCCCCTGGCCCCTACTACTCGGCCTAATCAACCCGCTCTCCCCCCTGCCCTGAACACTACTCTGCCTCGGCCTCCTCTTAAACCCCGCAATGTTAAAAGTCGAAGTATCCGTCGCCCTTGACACCCCCTCAACCTCAGTCGACTCATCCCCCAGCCCCAAACTACTATCATCATCCAGAGTCCCCAGTGTCACATCCAACTCTGACCCGTCCTTAGACGCAGAGGTCACATCCCGCAACCTGGCTAAGGCATCATCGCGTTGTTTTCTCGAGCTGTCCAACGCGCGGACTTGGTCTGGTTCAAGCTCGAGGGTGTGCTGTTGTTCGGCGGCGGCGCTCTTTTTGGCCGAGGCGCGGAGTTTCCGCCGCTCTTTTTCGGCGTCGCTCACGTCGTAGATGTCGCTTGGGAGTTCAGTCCCGGCTCGCTCGGCCTGCGCGGGCTTGGGCAACACAGGAATAGGCGGTGGCGAGGAGGAATTTCCCGTCGCAGCCGTGGCCATTGGGCGGGTGCGCGTTGTTGCGCGATCGCGCTTGGGGCGAGGCATCGTGAACTTTTTCTGCTTTGGTGGGTGGTGTTATTGCGCGGCGATTATTTGTCTGTTATCCGATGTTGATGATAATTCGTCCTGTGTGTGTAGAATTCCGATTGCGCGATCAAGATAGTTTTGCTATCCGGTATCAACCTTGGGAAGAAAGTTGCGACCTTCTCTTCGTCCCAAAAGGTTTAAAACCACAAAACGCGTCTTTGCACAGACAACAAAAAGCCAAAGAACGCGTTCCCCACACCCCTCTTGGCGCTCGCCCCCCCCCCCCCGCGTTGGTCCAAGCTCCCCTGCCCCTGTCAACGACCACCAATTACGTCACGGCTCCCCTATGCACACACCGCAACCCCCAGCTTCACCTCACTCACCAACCAACCACAGCTCACCACTTGCATGTCCATTACCTACCCTCACTCACCCCTTTTATGTCCGATCCGGATCATAATGCTCACCACTCTCACCAAACTCTCACCATCTACAGTATCTCCCTCAACAACCAAAATGGCCACCCGTCTCCTCCTCAACCGCACCCTCCGCCCAGCCCTCAGCCTCGGCCTCACAACCTCCCTCCTCGCAATCCACAACCAAAGACCAATGCGCATGGATGCCATCCCTTCGTCTAACAAATCCTTCTCAACCACCCGTCCCGAGAGAAAAGACCGGCTAGACCCAGAAATCATCAAACAGCTTTCTGGCGGTAGTCTCTCAGGTATGATTTTGAATCCCTTCTCTCACATCGTCATATACAATCATCCTAACACGTACCCCATCACAGGCTTCGCCGTCGGCCTCCTAGTCTCCGTCTTCTCCAAAACCCTCGTCCTCCTGGCAGGAATAGGTATGCTCACCATCCAAGTAAGTAAGGCGACTAATACTTATTTTATTGTTATTTCTCATCACCAAGAAAACTAGTGATAATACTTCATCCCTGATGTAGACACGTCTCCGTGCCTCGCACACTTTCATCATTCTTGCTAACACCCTCCACCAGGTCGCCTCTCGCTCCGGACTCGACCTGGTCAAGTACCTCCGCCTCCGTGAGCGTTTCCAGGGTTCCCGCATCCTAGCGGCCCTCAACCAACACACTGCCTTCAAGCTCTCCTTTGCCATTGCCTTTGCCATGTCGGCCTTCATGTCCTTTTAATTCTGAAAAAGTCCGTTAGGGGTATACGTTCTAGACAATCCCGACTAGAAAAAAAAATTCAAAATTCTTCCCCACCATGACAACAAGGCAATCAAAAAGGCTGCGTCTCCCGCAACAACCAGGCCTTTGTCAAAGGATCGTTCTCAAAGTATCCAAGCGTCTTCTCGAGAATCTTCTTGTTGGCCCGGTTCAGCCAATCCTTTTCATCCGGTGTGAGAAGGGTCTCATCAATGAGATTGCGGGCGTACGGAACCATGGTGACATGCTCGAATCCGAGGTATGGCTTGTCGCCAAACGAATGCTCCGTCTTGACCTCCTTCACAATGGCGAGGTTTTCAATGCGGATACCGAATGCTTCATCTTCGTAGTAGCCTGGTTCGATCGAGAGCACATTGCCAGCGGCCAGGGCAACGTCGATATACTGTTTCCTTGTACCGATGCCGATGGGCCCCTCGTGCACGTTTAGGAACGAGCCTACACCGTGGCCTGTACCATGGCGATAGTCGAGGCCATATTTCTAATCATCTGTCAGCGGGTACCACTTTGCATCCACACATCCTTAGACTCACCCAAAGAAATTGACGGGCCATGACATCGATGGCGAAACCACTTGTTCCCTTGGGGAAGACTACCGAATCCAAGGCGATGTTGCCCTTGAGAACCAAGGTGTAAGCCTTCTTTTCCTTGGCGGTTGGCGTTCCAAAATGAAGCGTTCTGGTGGTGTCTGTGGTGCCGTCCAGGTACTGAGCCCCGGAATCGCAGAGGTAGATGGCGTTGGGATCAATGATCTTGCAGGCACCCTTCTCTGGCTTGTAGTGAATGACAGCAGCACTAATACCTCGTCAGCAACCACCGCATCCCGTCTCTCACAAAGAGAAGTACTCACTTCGCCCCTGTCGAGGAAATAGTATCAAAGGAAAGTCCAACAAAGTCCTTGTGCTTTGATCTGATCTGCTCCAGCTTGTCGGCCGCATCCACCTCATCCAGCTGAGCCTTCTGGTTCACAAGTTGGTCTTCCAACCAGGCAAAGAACTCTGTCAGAGCAGCGCCGTCGCGAATGTGGCAGTTTCTCATGCCGTTCAATTCAACATCATTCTTGACAGCCTTGGCATCACCAACTGGACTCCGGACTTCATCGACAAACTTGTTACCTCCCAATGCCAGCTTCAGAGCCCATGACCCCTTACTCGAAATGAGATACTTCCTGGGCTTGGCGTCCTTGGAATCGGCCTCTGCTCGGCGAGCAAGCTCCTCGCTGTCCTCAAACAGAGCACCATAGGGCTTAATGGTAACCTTGTTTCGTTCAAGATAGGTCTTGCACTCGTCGGTCAATTTCGCTTCGTCAATGTAAAGTGTAGCCGAGGCCTGCGTCACAATCGCGTACGAAAAGAAGACCGGGTTGTAAGCGATATCGCTGCCGCGGAGGTTGAAGAGCCAAGCGATCTCGTCAAGCATGGAAAGAACAAAACCAGCCGCCTTCTTCTTATCCAGCTCCTTGCGGAGATCGGCAAGCTTCGCTGCCGTGTCCTTTCCAGCGTATTGCTGGCCCAAGAGGAATACACTGTTGCTGGGGCGAGGTGGTTGCTCAGAGCCCCAGACAAGGTCTACCAGGTTTTCCTTGATCCCAACAAGACCACCACCACCGGCGTTTTTGATATCCTCATCGAGCTTCTCGGCAATGGCGCTGGAAATCAGCTGAGGGTCGACACCAATCAGCTTACCACCCTCTGCTTCCTGCGTCGCCCATTCCTGCCAGGTTGGTACATCCTGCATACCAGTCTTGAGCAAATACCAGTTGGAATCCAGCTGCTTGGAAGCTTGGTTGAAGTATCGGCCGTCTGTGGCGAGAGCTGCCTTGTCCAGGGTCACGATGGCGGTTCCTGCTGACCCGGAGAAGCCAGAGATGAATGTGCGGCGGGCATCGCAGTCGGCGATATACTCGGAAGCATGGCTATCTTCGGATGGTACAACTGGAAGAACCAGGTGTTAGCTGCGGCTGTTGGAGGAGATAAGACGAAAGGCATCTCCTGACGTTGGTGGATGGATAAGGGCGGCGTGAGAGATGGTTGTATAACCTACCATAGACATGAAGGTTGCGCTCCTTCATCAAGGACCGCAGGGCGGCCAGCCGGCTCGTGGTATCAACAGTCACCATCTCTTCAACAAGTGTCGTCTTAGTAGCACTGTTGCTCAGGAGTTGGGCTTGGGTGCGGAATCGTCTCTTAGTACGGAACGGGGCGAGGGGGGAGCTGGTGTTGATAGCTTGGCGAGCTCTAGGTACAGCGGATGCAGCAGAAGCTTGGAACAGAGAGAGTGCTGTTAAGCTAGGAAGGGCCCATATATGGCGCATGAGGAGGCAGGTAGTCTCTATATATCTATTGGCGAGGTGGGTTGGTCGGACCAAACACACCACTCACAACGTGTTGGCCGGCACCGAAGAAAGTGCCGGAATGCAGGGGACGGAAGGGTATAACGAAACAATAGAAGAAGCGTCCCACAACCGGAGCAAGCCTTGAATTGTTCTCAAAGACCGGCTTCTTGAAGATGGTTGGTTGGTTGAGTTGCGTTGTCGTGGGCTTCTCAGATTCCCAAGTTAAGTGCTAGCTTGGTGGGAGCTGATGAGGGGTCCTTGAGTGGGTGAGGTTGCCCGCATTCAGTGCATCGAGCCCCACCCTATGCTGCCCGCTCCTCTGCAAGGCGCTGGCCCCGCCGCCGTATTGGGAAGGGGGAACCCGGGCAGCATCTCCCATGTAAATGAAGACGGCATTTCGCGGCAAGTTTCTGATGCTCCTGAAGGTAACCATTGTGATAGATTGGGAGCTCTGGGAGACCTCACGTGGCATTCTGTTGAAAGGACTGGCCTCCACCAGTACCGTCAACTGGCTTGCCGTATGGTTATCCACATGATGCATGGTCTCACCCGCACGGGAACCTGAGGGTGACACTTGTGAGTGGTGTATATGGGGTGCAGCAACGACAGCTGATAAGAGTGTGGTCGGAACTTGAGGTGTGTCCTCGATCTCCAGCTGAAGGGAATGACCAAACTAGCAACGCTGTTGAATATACAAGCACTCTTCAATAGAGACATATTGCTGATATCAAACTCGATAAGGGGAACCCCACTAGAGAGTAAGAGTTGCCTAGCATCACTGAAATGTCCAACAAGGCAGCCACGACCGAATAACATTCAGCCCATACAATAGGTAAGCAAAAAGAATTTCCCAAAGACAGTTCTCCTGATTTTAGGTGTCCATTCTGCCACACAGAACAAATAAACTATCCATAACATCAGCAAGGTTCACTAACAAGGGAAGGACCGAGCTTGTCTGCTAGGAAAAAGGTCAACCAATCAGAACCACTTCTCTTGACACCCGACCTCTAACAGCACTTCATCTTTTTCAGACCAGACGACACACAACTGCAACATCAGAAACCAACTTTAAACCAAACTTATCCAACACGGCTATGGATCCGTTACCACTACCAACAAGCCTCGCCGAGGTGGAAGCAGTAAGTGATGTCTCCTGCCGCCAGCTGGGTGGCTGCTCGCAAACGAAAAAGAAATCATGTGTTAACACCCAACCCACAGTTGATCCGAGCGCTCTATCAGCCAAACCCCCCTGAAACCATCTCCAGAATACAAGAGGTTCTTCAGCGACTTCAGAGGTCACCGGAAGGGTGGCAGCTTGCCGAGAGTCTCATTGCTCACCCAGAAGACAACATCAGGTTTTACGCCGCGCTAACCCTGATTGTCAAACTCAACCGAGATAGGTACATAGCTCCAGTGCGGCCCTCCTCGCCACCATCAAGACCTGAACACTAACCATGTATGTAGCGCTGGTCTGAATGAAGACGATGCCAAGCTTCTTCTTGAGAACATCATCAGCTGGACCATCCAGTCGCTGAGCGACGGGGCGGCTCCCTTCGTTACCAAGAAGCTGTGTTCGGCGCTCATTACCTACTTTGTACTTTTCTCCCACGTGTGGCCCGCCTGCGTTCGTCATTTTATCTATTGCCTGGATCTCGGCAGAGGCGTGCCCATAGAGAATCTAGATGATGCCTTGTCGACAGACATCCTCGTGGGTAATCTGGATAGCCAGAACCTCAAGGTGGCTATTTGGTTTGTCACGTCGTTGGTGGAGGAAGTCGGCAAGACCGACATGAACTCGATCAAATAGTAAGTTCCTTCGATCTACGAAATGTGATGACTACTTACGATAGTACAGTGCAGATGTCCACCAAAGACTCGCCAAAAACGGCCAGGACGCCACTTGTCTCCTCGCCCGCGGCTTTGTTCCACCTATTGACGAGGTCGGGCTCAAGACTCAGGAGGAAACACTGGCATGCTTCCAGGTAAGTCACATCGACGGCATCATGTTCTTGACAGATGAAGGAGCCAACACTAGACCTAGGCTTGGATCCTTTACGCCCAACGAGCGTCGTCCGATGTAGACCTGTTGGTGACACCACTCCGACAACTGGTTGATCCAGCATTGCAATGCTTCACCAACGAACATCTTTTTCAAGCTACCGCCGAGCTCTTCAGTGATGTGCTGCAGAACTACTCGGGTTTCTTCACCAAAGCGCACTATGACGCGCTTTCTTCTTTCTTTGAAAGCCAGTGGGCTGCGAACCACTATCAGCAAATTCTCCACGGGAACCACCGCGAGGATGGAATTTCTTTTGGACTACTGATGCTAGCCTACGGCGATGCCCAGGTGCAAGCCTTGCTGGAGGGTACAGACGAGCGGTCTCAGAGATTCCTGGAAAGCTTAAGTGGGCTTCTTGCCACTGACGGGTACTTGGTCGGAGATGACGCCATCTTCGTGCCCGCCCTCGAGTTCTGGTCAACCTTCATTGAAACAATGATCGACTGCACCTTCTCGGACGGGGATCAGTCACCTGTCTGGAAACCATATGCTGAACGGCACCTTAAGGCGGTGGTGACAAACAGCTGGCGCAAGATCCAGTGGCCCTCAGCAGAAATCTTTGCTGAATGGGACTCTGCTGAGCGTGCTGCATTCTGTGACGCCAGAAAGGATGTTGCAGATATGCTTCAGTCAGTTTTCACCCTCGAAGGTCTGGATCTCATTTCTTTCTTCGCCAACCTCTTCCTTCAAGCGCTCGCCTCACAGTCGTGGGCCGAGCTTGAGGCCACGGCGTTCTGTCTTGGTGCTCTCTCCGATTGTATCTCTGAGGACAGCAAGTATGATGCCGAGCTGAGCAAGGTCTTTGCTTCTCAATTCTTTGACCTTCTTGGTCAGGGCCAAGCCGCCGTACCACTGCGCCTCCGCCAGACGGGGCTGTCGTTGATCGAGAGGTACTGCGAGTACTTTGAGCGCCATGCAGACTACCTGCCGAATGCCCTGAATCTTCTCTTCGCTGCTGTGGGGGACTCTGTTCTCGGTGGCCCTTCGGCACGGTCGATCTCTACCCTTTGCTCTTCGTGCCGTACCATTTTGACTGGCGAGGCCGGCACATTCATCAGACACTACCAGGACATCCGTGGAAGACAGGTGCTTGATGCTCTAGCCGAGGAGAGGATCGTGCTTGCCGTTGCCTCCATCATCCAGTCCATCACGGACGAAAATGAGAAGCTGCAGAAATTCGAGGAGCTTTACACGATCTTCAAGAAGGACTTTGAGTTCGCCGTCCAGCTCAGATCACAGCCTGGCTTGGTGGACCTGACAAACCCAAATGTCCTGAGGGGTCTTGATCCCCCTATTCCCTCATCTCTTCCACTTGTGGAGGGCATCTCCCTCCACATTGCACTTCGGTCAATGAGGTGCATTGCCAGCATGTCGAAAGGCATGCAAGATGTCAAGGAGTCTCCTGTGGATTTGGAAGACGAATCGCAGGTTGCCAGAACAAGCGAGAAGCTTGCTGCGCTACAGTCCGACATTGTCAGCCTTCTCATAGGCGTTCAGCAAGTTTTCAGCACTACAGGAGAGATTGTAGAGATTATCTGCAACATCCTGCGTGCTGGGTTCTCAGAGACGGAACCAGGCCCATTTGTCTTCCCTGCTGACATCGTCACCAACTACTTTGTTCAACAGCCGTTTGAGACGCCTCGGATGGGAACGCTTCTCAGCACCGCTTGCTCCTTTGTGGGGTCGCTATACAGAGGGCCAAAGGCGATTGTGCCGAATCAGCTCGTCCGCCTGTTGCCATGGGTCATTGCCTTGCTTCAGAAGCTCCCAGGTAACCCTCCACACCCCTTTTTCTCACTATCTCATCACACCTAGCTGACACAGCCCCAGAACCAGAAGCAGACACGGAAATCTCCCAAAACGGCATCTGCCTCATCGACAGAGTCCTGTCCAAATACCCCGAAGTCCTCTTCCAAGTCCAACCGGGGCAAATGCTCGAGTTTTTTTTCATGTTCACGCTCAAAGTCCTCAACGGGAAGGAACCCCTTCCCAAAACTGCCGCAGCTGACTTTTGGGTATGTTAACCCCCCACCTCCCTTTGCTCCCAAACCACACTAACCTTTTTTTTTTTTTCATAGAGCAACTTTATAACCCTCAAACCCCCCTCCCCAAACCTCGCCTCCCACGTCTCCAACGCAATGTCTTACTTTGGCCCGTTGTTGGCGCAAACATTAATCAACAATATTGGCGGGAATGCTGCCAGATCAGAGCTGGATAAACTCAGTGAACCGCTCAAGAAGCTGGTTACTCAGCAGGTTCAGGCGCAACTTGGCTGGAGGGGGCGCTGACGAGGACAGATGAGGGGGGGAACGGCGGCGGTTTTCCAAGTGCGGCGGCGGAGAGGGTTAGCATGGCTGAGAGGGCGGCGTTTTTGAAAAAGGTGGTTGGGCTGAGGGGGGCGAGGCAGACGAATCAGGTTGTGAGGGAGTTTTGGTTGCTTTGTAGGGGGAGTAGTTTTGCTTATGTTTCTTAGGCCGGGGGGGGAGGGGGGCATGAAGCAGAGATGGAGTGGATTGGGGAGGGGGAGGGGTAGGTTTTGGTTTGAGGGAAGGGGTGGTTTGGTGTATGGGTTGTTTGTGGGTGTTGCATAACTGAGAGGGTGGGAGTGAGTACCTGAAGATGTTGGAGGGGTGTTTACTGGTAGTGAGGGATATTTCTAGTACTATCGAGGGCATTTACGGAAGAGTACCCATGTAGGAAAATGCCAGATTTTACCGCCATGGTGTTCATTGTATCTGAGGCATTGTTTGATTGGGTTGGTTATTTTGCAGTTAATCCAGAGATGAAGAAGAACATTGACGCAGGTATCAAGAAAGAAAGCATAACAGCCTGAAATGAAAACTAAAAGTAGCGAGAAGAAAAGTGACGGAGTGTATAGAGAAGGAATGCAAAAAATGCAAAAGAGAAGTTGATATGCATCAGCCGTGAATCGAACACGGGGCCCATCGATGGCAACGATGGATTTTACCACTAAACCACTGATGCTGGTTCATTGATGACGTTGGCAGCAGAGTTAGGTCCTATGTCTCACATCTTTCTCGGCTCAGCATAACCACAAAATATCACCAGCCAGGCAGTTGGCAAGTCACCACTCGATATTCAGCCGAAAAGGAAAGGGGAATAAGTGTTTCGGACATGACACGTAGTAACCACACCCATCCTTACAGAAGAAACCAAGGCGATATGAAGCCAGACGAGTCATGTAATCCGAAACATGATAAATAGCGGACTGGGGTGGGTGGAAAGGAAAGGACTTGAAACCGTCACCAATCATGCACCCATGAGACAAGTCACAAAGTCGCCAAACCACCCGACATAAATGTAACCCATGAATTTATACCCTCTGTGTAACTAAGACCTCTCTTCTCCCAGGTGACCAACGAATTCCCCCATCCAGAGAGGCAGGCACTGTAGAACATCCATCCCTCAAGCCCAATCCCGTCTGTTCATAAACCCAGTCGCCAAACGTCCAGGTCTGAGGTCTTCCCACAAGTCAAGCGCATCCCGTCTACCACCTTCCCTTCCCTCCCGACTCCCATGCTCCATCGCCATATACCCAGCCAGGCCAAGTACCTAGTCCAGTAACTCAAGTCCAGACCACCACCAACCCCCCGTCGAGGCTAATAAAGGGGCCCCTTTGCCAACTGTTGACAAAGACCCAACAAAGGAATCCCAAACCCCTAACCCCAACCCCAAGTCAGTGTGTCATACACACGGCAGTCGTGGACGCATAAGCAAATCCGCTTTTTTAAAACCACTGATGCTTAATTTCCTCTCGCAAAAATGCGCCTTTCTCGCTAATGGTACACAAACAAAAACAATAAATCGAAAGAAGACCACCACCAGCACCAGCGCCACCATCACCGCCTCTCCTTCACCCCCTTGCCCATCGCTTTTTTTATTGACCCACCCAACAAACAGAAAATGACAAAACCTTCGCTCCCTCCCAAATCCCTTTCCCAACCCAACCAACCCCCGCCATAAAAAAAACTCCCAGGTATGATGTTAAAAATCCCAAACCCCCCAAACCCAGTGCCCCAAATCGAAAAAAGCTCAGGTTGTTTGGTGTCAAGGATGTCGGGGGGAAAAACCACCCGAAGAAAAATGTATCAACCCGATTGCGTGAAATAAAAGACCGAGTCTAAAGGTATGTTCGGTTATAAACACGACTGAAAAAAAAAAAAAAAAAAAAAAAAAAAAAAAAAAAAGAAAAAAGGACCGCGCCGCCGGTGCAATTAATCGGCGCTTGTGAACAACTCTCTGCTTTGTAGCTCCTTCTCGAGTCGTCCGTGTAATATCTAATTGAACCGTAAGGTAAAAACAAACCCGGCTCTTCAGACCGTTACTTGCTCCACAACCTTTCTCAAAAAGCCATGTTGCCTACGCAACGGTTTGTATGTAGAATAGTAGAAAAAAAATGCGTCTACTCGAGGTCCATGACGTCCCCGTCGACCGAGTTCTTGTCATCGCTGTTGGATTCAACGATGGCGGGCTCGGTTCCGACCGAGGTGGCCTTGGTCGGTGTGGTCGGCAAGTTGGCATCCTTGCTTGGGTTCTCCTCCAGGGGAGCCTCGGGAGATTGGTCGCCCAGGGCAGGCGTCTTTTCGCCTTGGGTCATGGCGGGGACATCATCGGTGGCAGCCGGGGATGGAGCCACTTTGTCGGCCTCGGAGTCGCCATCAATGGACATCGAGGTCGTCAGGCTAGGAACCGCAGGTGCAGTCCCGTTGGCGCCAGAGCTGAGGAGCTGCCGGATTTGCTGCGACATGACCTCGGCCTGGGCCAGCATAGCGCGCAAGCTCTGCTGGTCCATCCGAGTGAGCTGCTCGGCGGACTGGAAGTGATCGGCGCTCCCACGAGACATGAGATTGACGACGCATGGGTCGGCCTGGGCGATCAGTGTATCGATCAAGGTGGTGATGGGGGCAGTCCCCTGGCCGCTGAGCTGGGCCAGGTTGCGAACGGCTTGCTGCTCCTCAAGAGTCCGTTGCGTAAGCGGAACGGCTGGGGTCGTTGCCGCATTCAATGGCGGGATAGGCTTCCCCTTGCGGTTGAAGCGAGCGCTGCAAAAAGTTAGTCTGGCGATTCGGTCGTCCAACAACACGATGCAGTCACTTACCGAGACAGAAAGTCGGCCCTGATACCCCTCTCCGGAAGGCGCACAGTGCGGCCGTACGCCTCGCTGTTCCGCCAGCTGCTGGCGGGCGTGTCTTCCTCGAGAGCGACGTCGATGTAGCCGTCGTTGATGAAGCCGCGGCTGAAAGCAGGCCGAATCACACCGGCCGTCTTGGGCTTGCGGACCCGGTGGGCAGGAGCGAGCACCTCGGGCATCTCAGCCAAGAGCTCGTCAATATGGAGAGGGCACTTCCACGTGCGCAGGACTGGGGGGTTGGCCAAGGGCGGATCTAGGCAGTCGAGATGCCAAAAGATACCACAGGCGCTGCACGGGATAATGGCGCGGTCCGAAGCGCTGTGTTTCTGGCAGCTGTGGCAGATGGCAGCATTGCCCTCGGCATCGCGGAGCCTGAAGAAATCAGGCGCCTCTTCATCGCTCTTCTTCTTGCGAGCAGTCTTGACGACTGGCAGAATCTCCTCATACTCGCCCTCGGGTCCTGTGCGGACTCCCTCGAAGCAGTTACGGATGTCGGGCGGCAAGGCAAAAGCGGTCGAGTTCTTGGCCTCGAGCTTCTCAAAAAGCAGGGCAAAGGATCCCGTGTGCTCGCGGAAAGGTTGCAGTTCGCGCGTCATGCGGCACACGTTGCAAAACCACTCGTTAGGCATCGCATCTCGTGCCAACGGGGGATCGACACAATTGAAGTGAAACGACCGGGTGCAGCCGTCGCAGCAGATGAGCTCGCCGTTGCTGCTGCAAGAGGCGCAATAATCGTCGTTGTCATCCTGTGCATGGTTAGTTACCTCTTTGCTGGTCATGACTGTGGTAATTTCGCAGAGTTTCTTTTTTTTTTTTTTTTTTTTTGGGAGGGGGGGGGGGAGGGTGGGGGACTACTAGTGATGTCGTGGGAGGGGACAAAAGGGTAAGGTAGGTGTGGGACACACACACACACGCGTGTGTGTCTCTGAACCATGATGCACTCGCATTCAAGGATATCGCAGGGCAGAGATGAAATTTGATGAAATCAAAGGTGCTTGCTTACCTGAGGATTGCCGACGGGACCGTTGCCGACGGGACTGCTCCGCTCGCCGCTGGGACGGGGAATACCTGCCAAGGGACCCGTCTTTTTCTTCATGGGCCTACACAAACCATGTCAGTAGATTGTAGATTGATTCTCCGTCATCCAGGAAGCACTTACGAATTCTTAACTCTGAGCCCGGTGCGGGCCTTCTTGGCAGGGCGCAGAGTGGCAGGTGTGCCAGCACGTGAGTTGGCGGCAGTAGAAGGCGCGGCTGAGTTGGGAAAGCCTGGCGTGATGGGCGACGTTGGATCTTCAACCTCATCATGAGATCGCTTCCGGGCAGACCGGGTGCTTCTGCCTTCCCGAGCAGCCGGGGTAGAGCGGGAGGCGGGTAGAGTGGCCCGCAGCCGTGTGGCCAACGCGTTGGGTGTCTCCATCGTCATCATGGATTCATCGGCTAAAGGCTGGTCGACGAGCCCTCGAGCGTTGCTGTACTCCCACTGACCGCTGGCATCCTTCTTCGTGATGGCATCCTCAAGAATCTTGCCGTTGGTGACTTCCTTGGCCTGGCGACGACGCTGAGTCTTTTCGTCGTTCTCGTCAAGCTTGCCGACCTTGCTGGTAAACACGATGGCGGGCTTGTTCTTCTTGCCGTTCAGGCTGGTGATGAATGTGTCGACGGTGGCGCCGGGGTCGTAGGGCTCCTCATCGACAAGCGACTGGTCAACGGCTGGCGTCTGGCGGCGGGAGTTGCTGGCCGACTGAACAGGACGCGGCGCAGCCGAAGCAACAGACGAGCGCCGGGAGGGTGACACGTTCCCGCCCTTGCTCTTGCGTGGTGCATTGGACCGACGCCGCTTGCCATTGATTGGCTGGGCCGGGGCAGGGCTGTTGCGCGAAGGAGGCGCATCGGAGACCAGGGCCTCCTCTTCATTTTCAATCGCCTGATGCCGGGCTGCTACAGGTGTCAGTGACAGTGAGCGTGCCGTGGATAGCGTTGATGTGCTGGAATGAGACGTCGCTCTGGTGCGGCGGCGCGGTGTCTCTGCGACCAGCTTGCCGTCGACCTCTTGGGTCGTCGTCGTCGTCGCGCTGGCGGCGGCGGCTGCTTCCATCATCTTTTTGGATGTCGCCTCTGAATGTCGAGCTGATTTTCGTTTCTTGCGAGGGGGCTCCTCTGGCTCTTTGTCCTCTTGACGCTCCGGCTCAACCTGAGGCTCGTTGCGCTGTGGGAGCTCAGGCGTCTGCTCTGGCTCGGTATCGGGCGCTGTGGTGCCAACAGGCTCTGGGTCTGACGGGAGAGGCCCGACAGAGTCTTCAACAACCGGGGGGCTCTCGGCGACAGCGGCGGGAAGTGGTGTCGCTTCCCGCAATGGCAGCTGCACCGGTTCCTGCGCCGGCTCTGGCTGCGCTGGCGACTCTTGCTGCTGTGGTGATGCACAGGCTGGGGCTGGGACTGTTCGAGTTTCTGGCTCAGGCTCGGGCTGTTCAGTATGACGATCGAACGTCGATTGCCTCTCGGTCTTGGGGGCTGGTTCTGATTCCTTAAAGTGAAGAAGCGACACGCCAAAGTTGATGAGATGGTTGTAGGGCGCAGGCTTCGCCGGCGGGATCGAGGTTTGTTCGTGGCCAAAAAAGTATTGGAATCCCTGGTTGGAGGCCTTGCCCTCCTTCTTTTTCTTCTGGATATCCTTAGCAAACTTGCTGAGCGTGGGTGCGTCCGCCTTCTGCATGAACACCTTCTCGATCATGGTGAGAAATTCCAGGCTAGTGCAATTTTCATCGTAGAGGGTGCGCAGGGCCCAGGCAGTGGGGTAGCGACAAAACTGCAGCGCTGCCTCAACCGCAGCCTCCACCACCTTGGCCGTGATCTTTTTCAAATCATCCTCACGAGACGCACTGCTTGTGGACGGTTGCTGCTGAATATGATGATGATGAGAAGGATGCGATGAGGCGCTTGCCCGGGACTGACTTCTGCGGTCGGCCGACGACACCTGCGACATCCTGCCCGGACCCCAGTTGCCCGCCTCCACGTCACGCGAAGAAAAAGAGCCATGTGAGCGCGAGGGTGCACTCACTGCAGGAGTCGTCTCCCTGTAATTGATGCCTTCGGCACGACCTCTGTCCTCGCTCTTGATCCGCTCCAGGTAGGGGGCTTCCGTGTATGGCTCGGCCGTCTCGTCCTCCTCCTCCGTCTCGTCCTCCTCAGGCGCCGGCGGAGGAGGTGGTGGCGGCGCCGCAGGGGTGGGCGTAGATGGCGCCGCAGGTCTGCTCGACTTGAGAACAATTCTGGTCTTGGGGGGGTTGGCGGCTGGTGTTGGTGTCGCGGCGCTCGAAGACTTGAAGACGCCGAGCTTCGGCATGGTGCCCAGAGGTGCCATATTGTCAAAGACGCCCTGCCGCACAAGGCCTGCTTCCTGATAACTGGGCTTGCTCTGCACTGGAGGCTCCAACCAGCGCTCCAAGAAAGTGCTCTTCTTTGGCTCTCTGCCCTCGGCAGCAGAGACGGCGGCGGCCGAAGACTCCTTTGTGGTGGACTCGGACGCCGTGACTTGCGGACTCGAAAAACGCGACCGAGAGGCCCGCGTGTTGGAAGATATTGTGGTTACTGGCATGATAGGGCTCGCAGCTGCGGTCGCGGGTGCGAGCGTGGGTGTGGTAGGTGGTGCAGTGCGGGAATCAGCAAGAGCAGCTCCTGGGCGACTCGGCCTCGTTCGCCCCCTTCTTTGATGGAACCAACGCACGCCGTGGTTCGTTTCGCGCCTGCGCAACGTGTTAGCATGGCTGCAGACAAAAAACAAGGCGCACAAGACGTACCTGGTGTCTGCTCCAGAGTGGGAATCGTTGCAAAAATCGTCGCGTTTTTCCGGCGTTGAACGCGCGATTGCTGGTAGCTTTTGTGGAAGAAAAGGGTGCGGGAAAGGAGGTGTGTAGGGGGGGGGGGGTGTGTCGCTCCAGACGGAGATCTTGTGGTCGGAGGTGACGGGCGACGGGCCTGACCAGGGGGGTGCCACTGTAGGTTAAGCTTCAGCACTGAGCAGCCTGCCTGCGCCCGATTTTCCTCTCCTCGGTGGAAAAAATAGGACCAACACACGTGGAAAAAATTGATCCTGATTTTTCGGGATCAAAATGAAAAGGAAGTGAGGATGGTTTTTTGATCTCGAGCGAGTCGCTTCTTGTCTGCTGTCGTCGAGCGTGATGCCCTGAGAGTTCTCTGTTTGTGAGCTGCTTGGTCGCTCGCTCTCCTTGGCTGCCGACTTGAGTTGATGGATGAGATAAGTGACGCGTTGCTCGGCGCGCCCTTGATTTGCTGCGTTGCCTGTATATCTAGGCAGTGGTGAATGATAAGATGAGTATGCCGATGGCCACAGGTCGGCGATGATTGATGTGGGCGAGAAAGGAGATGAAGGTTGTGGATGAAAAAAAGTGAGTGGTAAACTTTAGGTCGCAGGGGGCTGTTCTGCTTCAGGGGGGCTAGGGGGTTGGTTGTGTTTCTTGCTCTGCCAAAAAAAAACCCCCTCCTTCCTTCCGTCTTGCAGCTGCCAGCCAGCACAATAGGCCACCACCTACAACAATAGCACACAATAGGACCTGCCTCGAGAAAACAATCCATGTCAACAACACAATATTCAAGTGAATCCCAGCTTGCTCCTCTCACCCGACACCTCCTCCACCTCATCTTGCTCCAGACCCCGCCGATGACTACACTCCCATCCATCCCCCCCCCTTTCCTCCCCCTCCCCGTCCTCCCACGTCCTCCATCCTGACGCCACTCACCCGACGTTGACACACGCCTCATAGCGTCACCACCTAGCGTCACTAACTTCATACCTACTGTTCACTCAGCTGCAAGGGTTGCCAAAGTGCGATTAACTTTTTTTATTCATTTCTGCTCGAACTAAGAAACAGCGATAAGCCAAGGCGGCGGGGGTAATGGATAGAAAACCTTTTTCTCCTACCACATCCCCACACCTTTCGCTTTGCCCCTCCCAGCTTGCCGTTGCTCGACTGTCCCTACTGTTCTGCTGGGCACTTCAAGCCCAGTCCTCCACGTAACAAAGCCGTTGCGGCCGGAGAGCCGAGAAGCTGCCTGGAGGAGGTGTTTGCACCCCGGACATTCCTGTGCTCGGGTAGCGACGCTGAATCCAGCTCAATGCCCCCCATATTCAACCCGCCGTTGCGTTTACTCCTCGCCCTCGGCCTTCTTCTTCTTGTTCTTGTTCTTCTTGCCCGTGTTGCGGGACAGGGGCTGCTCAAGAATCTTGAGGATCTCCTCATCCACAATCTTCTTGTCCGACTTCACCTTGGCGAGGTCCAAAGCAGGGGGAGCACCAACCTTGGAGAGGCCGTTCTTGGTGATGGCTACAATCAATCATTTGTCAGCACATCTCTGTCTGCAGCTGTCCTAGAATGACGTGGAATTCCAAATGTTTCTTACCAACGGTGGTCAAAAGTCTGGCAACAGGCTCGCCGTCCTTCTCGCCACTGGCCTCGTACTGACGGATCACATTGCCACGGACACACTCGATGATGCCAGACTTGGCATCACGCTCATCCTCGAGCTGGCGCAAGCTGAAGGGGAAGGTGCCAAACTTCTTCTGCACCTCGGAGAGGATCTTGCGCGAGGTGGGACGCTTGAGGGCGTATGTGTTGGTGGTGCGGCGGTGCAGAGTCGTTCTTTGCTCAAACTGCTTGACCTTGCCAGAGCCCAAGCTGACGCCAACCTCGACACCCCAGACCTCACCGACCTCGGGGACGCCCTCGCCCTTGGTGCCCTCGCCAGGAGAGATGACAATCTTCTTGGAGCCCTCGATCTCGTTGCGGTCAAAGAGCCACGAGGTCGTGCTTTCAACAATGTTGCAGTCGTAGGCCTGAGCGACCTTCTCCAAAAGGCTGGAGATCTTGGACTGCGAGGGAGGCTTGACGGAAGCAGCCTTGGCCTTCTCCTCTTCGGTGCCGCTGGCCAAAAGTCCAGGGGGGATCATCAACCGAAGGAGGAGCTCGTTGACATAGTAGGTGGCCAGGAGAAGGTCGGCAGTGCGGCCCTCGATGACGGGCTCGGCTCCCTCCTTCTCGGGGGCGACGACGGTGTCGCAAACGATGGAGCCGAAGCCATCGATCTGGGCACCGAGCTGGATCTTGATGGGCTCGCCGGCCTGGATCTCAGTCGCAGCCTCCTTCTCGTCCGTCTTCAGGGGGGTGTAAGGAGTGACAAAGGCAGCCGGGGAGACGGTGGTGGGATGAGAGAAACCTATAGATGGGCGGAAAAATCTGTGTCAACACCAACAACCGGCACAAGCACAAGCTCAGGGGGTATCGGGAGCCAGTGGCGACATGTCAAGGTGTGGCAGGCAGGATCCCAGGTCGGGCACCTCTTAACGTACCCTTGGTGATCTTCTTGCCGCGGTAAACCTTGGCAACTTCCTCCTCGATGAGCTTGTCGCCCTTTTCGCAGATGTCGACGATCTTGCTACCAGCGACGCATAGCTTCGATACCTCGGCCAAGACCTTCTCCGAGATCTGGGCGGCGGTCTTGTACTTGGTGAGGGTGTCGGGGTTGTTCAGAGTGTAGTCTTTATGGCGGGAAAAACAAGGTTAGCATCGGGCGGGCGCATGATGGGGAGCCCAAGGTGGTCCTGTCCTGTACAAAAAAGAGACAAGAAGCAAGGCATGGGGATCCTATGTAGCAAGGCGAAGGGAAGGGGGGTGTGTACTGACCGACGGGCTTCTCCTCGGTGGTCATTTTGGCGGCTGGACTCGAACGAGCGGTGGACAGTCGGGGAAATAAACAAAATAGTACTGAGCGAGGGGAGGAAGGGGGGGGAGGGCAAACAATCAAGGCGGCTGGCGGGGCGTGACGATTTTGAGCCTGTTGCGGTTGCTTGATTTTGTGAAGGCGGGGTTCTTCTTTGCATTTGTGCCTTCGCTCGTCGCTGCACCCCACCACGTTATGACCTCCTTCTGGGCTTCTGAGTGGTAGGCACGGGCCACATTGCTACCTTGATTGCAATAAAGTACTGGCTACCCTGTTTTTCACCTGATCTATACTTAGGATAGAAGTACCTGATACTCTTGAGCTCCTTGACGCTACCTTCTCGCGTCCCATTGGCTCCTGCTGCGACGCGCGCCTCGCCGTTTCTTGCACTTTCGCATCTCTCTGGCGCCCATTGATCTGAAGCCAGCAGCAGCAGCAGCCTTGCAATTTGCTTTGCTTCACTTCACCATTCACGCTCAACGACAGTCCATTGATACGCAACACAGCAACAAGGCTGCACCCCTCCTAGCCACTATTTGCTAACGTACCCCATCGAATTCCCTCTATTCCACCATATCCAGCAGACACATACGAAACATACCCGCTACCTCGCGGCAATGGCTGCTCTCCAAGGGTCAGCACCACCAGCACTGGGCACGTCGTCCACGTCGACCACTGCCGCCGACCTCCCCCCTGACACCGACGTCCAGGTCGACGGCCCATCATCTTCCCACCAGCCTTCTGCATCCACACCTGCCGATGGCCCAACTAAATCCTCTGCCACAAGCCCCGAGCCCGAGGATGGGGATGCGGCGCTCCCCATACGCGACAAGGACAGCTTCACAAGAGTCATGGTGGACCGCTTCCAGACACGCGACTGGGTTCATTCTTCTCTTCTCGGCGAAGATCAAATACGGCTCGAAAAGACTACCAAGGATGTGCTTGCGCGCACCAGTGACTTCAAGACCTACAAGGAGTTCTATCACCAGTATCCGGCTAGGTTATATGGTGAAGGCTACCGCGGTTATGGCAACGGCTACACGGAGAATGGCGGGACTACCAAGCTCATATATCCCTCCCAGAGGCGTCGCCCCGGTCGCAGGGCCACGCCACCTGTCAAGTTCACAAAGTCCCAGATCAAGAAGCAGGCAGAGCAGCCTGAAGAACTGGTTCCCGTCCGGATAGATGTGGACTACGACAGAATCAAGCTCCGGGATACCTTTACCTTCAACCTCTATGAGCGCCTCGTGTCAGTCGAACACTTTGCCGCCGAACTGGTCGAAGACATGGGCCTCGAACCGCCTCTGGCCAAACCTGTCTATGACCAAGTGGTTGCCCAGATGACGGAACAGCTCCAGGATTTTTTCCCCTTCGTCCACTCGGAAGAGGAAGCCCTCGACCCCGAGCTCCCCTATTCGGCATACAAGAATGACGAGATGCGCATCCTGATCAAACTCAACATCACCATTGGGGCACACACGCTTGTGGACCAATTTGAATGGGAGCTCAACAACCCCCTGAACTCGCCCGAGGAATTTGCTGCTTGCATGGCCCGGGACCTCTCTCTGTCGGGCGAGTTCACAACCGCCATTGCTCACTGCATCAGGGAACAGGTCCAGCTCTTCACGCGCAGTCTGTACAGTGTGGGCCATCCATTCGACGGCCGGCCAATCGAGGATCCAGACCTCCTTGCTGCCTTCTTGCCTACACCCCTTCCATCTGTGTTCCGACCTCAACAACAAGCCAAGGACTACGCACCGTACTTGTACGAGAATACCGAGGCCGAACTGGAACGAACCGAAAACATGTTCTCACGTGAGCAGAGGCGACAGAAGCGTTCTACCAACAGACGTGGTGGGCCTCAGTTGCCGGATCTTAAGGAAAGGCAAAGGACCATCCGAACTTCGATCGTATCCTCGGTGCTGCCCGGTGCAGCTCTAAACATTGAGGAAAGCCGGCTGTTCAAGCGCGCCACTGGTGTTGGGGCTGGCAGGGGAGGCAAGAGAACACTCAGAGATGGTGTCGACCTTTCAGACTCGGAAGACAGTGACGAGTCTGATCCTGATTCACCGGCCGTGTCTCAGCTTCAAGGGACCGCCAGAACCAGGGGTATGCGCGGCGCCGCCACGGCAGCTGCCCAGCGCATGGCCAATATTGGCCGATCCGAGACCCCTGAGGCTGTCATCCACCACCACGAGACCCGAACGTCTCGGCGGTATGGCCGGGAGGCCACCAGGGAGCAGACAGAAGATGTGCCACAACAATACATGATCACTCTGCGTGTCAACCCGGCTCGACTTAGGAAGTTTATGCGGGAGTACAAGCCGAGGCCGCTGGCAGCGCTAGGCTCAGCTACACCAACGCCTGCTCACCTACGAGCTCCGGGCGTGGCGGGTTCGATGGGCCCACCGTCAACGCCATCAGCAGCAGGCGGCGCCGTGGTCCCTAATGTTCAGAACCAGCAAGATGGCATTCCGGCTCCACCACCGAACCCGGATGGCACACAACCCAAGATTGCAGCCGTAAGTTTGACCCCTTGTCCCACTTCGAGCCCGTGTTGGCTAGGTACTCATACCCTGCCCTTAGCCACCACCACCAGCGTGGCTCACAGCCTGTCTCGATGAGCTTCGCCGCGATTACCCCAACGACATCTTTGACTCTACAATGCGGTACTTTGCCATCAACTCCGAAACAGGGAACTCGATGCCTTTGCCTCTCACCCCGGAACAGATGGCCTTGCCCACGACAAAATACGTATTCTTGCCTAGGATCAAGTGTGCAGACTGTCCGGGCAAGAGTTATACCGTTGGTCCGGAGCACACGGTCAAGGGCTTTGAGGTGCATCTGAGGAAGAACAACACGCATCAGGAGAGGGTCAGGGCGAGGCTGGCCGGAGGCGGCGGGCTGCCAGTGGTGGGAGATGGGAGGAGTCCGAGTGTTGGGGCCGGTAGTGGGGCGCCAGCTGGAGGGACGGGGATCGTCATACCCGCCTTGAATCCGAATCATACGCGGACTTCCTAGAGCCAAGGTCAGCCTGGAAGGGATTTATTTCCTGGACGATTGTCAACCGGTCGGGGATTGGATCCGTGGATCTTTCGGATGTTATTCCGAGAAGCCAAGCCCGTACGAAATCGTTCCGTTTTGGTGTACTCCGCTCAGGTTCCTGGGGCGCCGTGGCTGGAAACGTCCGTTGATTTTCAGAGTATGGTGTCTGAGGACGAAAATGAGCTTTTCAAAGACTAGCAGTCTGCCAAGAAGGATCGGCCCCCTAGAGAAGATGCGCCTATATCTGAGTCGCCCTGTCGTTTCTTGACCAGTGGGCCAGATGATAACATAATCTGGCGGCCATATGCCGACGCGCCTCCCGATCAGGATCCGTTTTTGCAAAATGAAGCCAATTTCGAGTACTATCGTTGGGCGACTAGTGGAAATCATGGCGACGAAGGTCAGCCTTCCCAACACCCGCAGCCTCTTCGGGGGGAAGAACGCCGAGAAGAGATCATGCCCTCTCAAGTTGATCAGCCTCCTGAGGAGAATCTGTCTTTTCTTGATGATGATGATGATGATGGTGTGCTACCCTCTGGATTTTTGGATGGTGGGTTCGATACCAACGAAGGGCAACCTTCCCAAAATTCGCAGTCTCTTTGGGAGGATGAATACCGAGAAGAAGTCATGCCTCCTCAAACCAATCAGCCTCCTGAAGAAGATTCGCAACTCTTTACTCAAGACAATTTGCCGCACTATGGTTTTTCGAACAGTGGGTTCTCTGCCGGCGAAGGTCAGCCTTTCCCAGACTCGCAGCCTCACGATGGGAACCAGCCTCCCGCAAGGCGTGGGGGTCGCTAGTATTGTCCACTCCCCCATTGCCGGAACGAAACTGGATTCAAAAGTGAAAAAAATCTCCGGCAACATATGAAAGATGTGGCGCACGAAGAAGGTCAGCCTCTCCCGAACTCGCAGCCTCACGATGGGAATCAGCCTCCCGCAGCGGGTGGGGGTCGCCATTATTGTCCGCTCCCCAATTGCCGGAACGAAACTGGATTCAAAAGTGAAAAGTTTCTCCGGGAACATATAAGAGAAGTGGCGCACGAAAAAAAAGAAGCAAAGTCTACCGCGTATTGTTTCCCATGTGCGGACAGAGGAGGAGGAATCCCATGTGATCGGAAATCCCCATGCAAGCAATGTAAAGATCACCAGACGCATGATCAGTGCAAATATGATCCTGTCTTGAACAGGCCTCGAAGGGATTACAAGCCGGCTGCACAGCAACGGAAAACCACCACCGGCCATCAGATCTGTCATCCATGCCAGGATGCTCATCTTGTATGTACAGGGGGGTCGTACTTTGAACAGATCGCGTGTGATCAGTGTAAACTGCGCGACTTATCTGAGCACTGCAAATAGGAGACGCAGCCGATAACTCATCGGGCTATAACCGGTCCGAAGGGCCGTTCAGGGGGGGCGGGAGCAGCGAGTTCACAGGGATTTGGTGTTTAAAATGTTTCTTTTTTCTCGTATTCTATGTACGCAGACAGGTTTCAGCGGATACCTAGTCAGAGTAGTAGCAGGCTCAATGTATGTTTAAGTGGTTTTGGTTGGGTGGAGGAAAGGGAGGGGGAGAGGGGCCGTAAAATACACGTTTTCGGCGTTTTGGGTGGGAAGATGAAGTATACAATTTTCCAAAACAAGAGACGATTATTTTTTGGTGTTTGGTGTGATTCAAACTTGCTGGTTGGTTGTGATATATGCCTGCGTGTGTTGCTCTTGTGGGAGGTATCTAACGCTGTTGGGATAAAATAAGAGAGAACCTTTACGGAGCCCCTTATTTTCTCTTACCAGTGCCCCTCTCCCTACCTATTTACTTACTTTTTTTATAATATAGTAAAAGGACTTTCAGATAGTTTAAAGGCCTTTAAATTATCTTTAAAGGCTTGTAAACTATCTTTAAAGGCTTGTAAACTATCTTTAAAGGCCTTTACACTATCTTTTAAAGCCCTTGAACTATCCTTCAAGACCCTTGAACTATCTTTTAAGTCCTGTTAAGTATCTTTTAAGGCCTTTGAACTATCCTTTCCGTCTTTTAACTATTTTTAAAGCCTATTAATTATTTCTTAACACTTAATAATCATCCTTTAAAATATAGTTAATTCTATATCAGGTGGGTGGGGAACTTGCAAGATAAATGGGGGGCTCCGTAAAGGTTCTCTCTAAAATAACTGGCTACTTGCAAAGGTTCTTGAAATATATCTCGAGAGATAAGATTGGTAGGTATCGGATTATGTCTGTATTATCAATCCATCAATCACATGCTATGAAAGCCTCGCAATGATTCTCTTGTTTCTGTCCCTCATGATTACCTCATCCAATCCCTCTCACTGCTTTTTCTTCTTGTCCTCACCAACCTTCTTCCCACCCATCACCACGACCCCAAGCAACTTGATCACCACCCACGCAAACCCAGCCACCACCACGGCCCCGGTCACAGTCCCGACCCAGTCTGCCTTTTCCAGGTTCAGCACCGGGACCTTGACAGTGTTTACCAGTTTCCCGTCCGCGGGCGAGGGATTCAAATGCCAAAACACCGTCCTCTCCCCAAACAACCCATCATAGCCCACCCTGTCCTTCTCAAAGGGGTTGCCCGGGAATTTCGTCCCCTCCTCCGCTGTGCAAGCCCAGAACAATGCCGGGTAGGGCACCTCCGCCTTTTGATACCCGGTTAAACTGGGAGGCAAATACCGTAGATGAAGCGGGATTTCGGCTGTCCATTCTTTTCCAGAAGAAGAAGAATGGGGGGGAGCAAGCTCGAGAAGGAGGGTAGAGCCCCATGTGGAGGTTACATACACTGGTGCTTCGAGGTCGATTCCAGGGGTGATATACCGAACCGCAGTCAGGTTTTTAGACGACAGAAAAAGGGGATCGTTGAGCTGGTGACGATCAGGGAAGAGGGTTTTGGGAAGGGTGAAGTACCCGTGTAAACGGCAGGTTTCTTCAGTAGGGGATTTTGCCGGGGGTGAAGGGGAGGAGATTGATAGCTGGAGGGTTGGGTGGAGGCCTGTCGGGGGGAGGAAGTGGGCTTGGAAGGAGGAGGAGGAGTCCCTGTGCCGGGAGGGGAAGGAGAATAATGTTGGGGAGGGGGTGGTTGATTGCCCTAGGACGGTCAAGAGGCCTGAGATGCCGATTTCGTGGGGTTCGAGGGTTTTGGGGGAGGTTTGGGAGAGGATGCCGATTTCGGTGCGGATGGTGGGGGAGAGGAGGGATGCTGATAGGGATTGGGGGGAGTAAGGCCAGAGGGAGGTTAGGCGGAGGGTGTGAGAGATTGTATCATAGGAGAGGTCGAGTTGGCTGGCTGCGGTGAGGGAACCGACGCGGGAGGAGCAGGATGAAGGGGAGCCTGGGGGGCAGAGGAGGGATCTGGCGAAGTGGGCGAAGGCTTTGAGGGAGGGGAGGGGTTGGTAGAATTGGTGGGTTGTGGAGTGGGTGAAGCGGTCGGTTGGGAGGGTGGTGAAGGAGTCCGAGGGGGAGGAGCAGGAGTCGAGGCCGAATGCTTTGGTGAGGAGGGGGCAGGGGTTGATTCTGAGGGCATGTTAGTACAGTATATGGATGGGTATACAAGACTGGTAAGCTTACAATGCATCACTGCCAGGAGTGTAGAACAGGTGGAAGCCAGGAGGAAGACGTGCTAGTAATGGACTAACAGCCTCATATGCGACGGGACTGACCCATCGGACGTGTAGTTGGTTGACACCCTCTAACAAGGCTTTGAGTTCCGCAGGCAACTCATCCAGGGCGAATGTCAGCCTGTCTTCGCGGACGGCCTTCACTTCTGGGCCCTTCAGTCCGTTGCCGTCGACTTTCAAGGCTGTGGGCTCTATCGAGTCACCCTCCTTTTGCACAAACGTAATTCTTTCCCTCATGGTCACAGTCTTCCTGATTACTCACAGACTTTGATGTTGATGGTTGATAATAGGTGAGTTCACTCGTGAGTTGACGTTGAATAACAGCCCCCAGAAGCCTAAAGTGGCAGCATCTGATTGGTCAGAATGACAGGCTGTCTCGGGTGTCTTGACCCACCCATGGTCCTTGCCCAAAGCATCACCGAAGCCCACCCACACTAACCCCTTTTGGGCACCGGCTGCAACGGCGAAACTGCTCAGCCTCTCCTTCAAGCACGCCCACTCACAGCACAGCGCATAACATGGCTGATAGCATAGGTCGTTGAATAAGCGGTGCGGCAGATGCTTGATCTCTGACCTTTTCCATCCCTCTTTACCATTTGACCGTTTCCAAGGCCCCTCTTTCAAACTGCCCACTTCTTGTTGTTTCTACAATCATCATTCTTAATCATAGATAGCTTCAAGACGAGGTAAATACATCGTTCCAGGCGACAATAGTCAGCTTCTCCGCTATTTGGTTCAGTCCCCTTATTTTGATGGTTACTTGAATCCACGGGGGATTCGCCTCTCTCTCCACCATGGAGCCCACGCCAGAGTTTATAAGGATCCGCTCGAGACAGCCCGTCAATGAACGGGATCAGAGCAGCCTGAGTATAAGCAGCAGCTCTGATTCTGCTGTACGTTTCTCTTTTTTCCTCTTCATCGAGACGGAGGGGAAAATGGTCGCTGACATCATTCAGTATGGTTCATCGAGCGAGAGTTGCTCCCCAGCGACACATGATATCAGCCGAGTTAGCTACCATGTCAAGCACCTCGAGAGCTTTGCCCAGGCTTTGGAAGATGTATGTTTGTGTAAGCGATAGTAACGGTATGAGAGATAACCTAACAGATCATCACAGTCAGCGAGCAGGGCATTCCCAAACCGAGGCCCTACCCAGCGATACACCAAGGTCCACGCCCTGATGCTTCACTGGAAGAGCGATGATTTGTTTGTTTTGCCAGAGTTGGAGGACTTGGAGAAGTGCTTCCGGGATCACTACTGCTTCGAGACCGACATCTTTTCGATTCCGTCTGAGAACTCTCACCTGGAGTTGATGCTCAGGATTGGCGACATGGTCAAACAATACGAATCCGAACAGACACTATTCGTGGTCTACTATGGAGGTCATGCCAGGATAGACGAGTCACGGCAGAGCACCTGGTGCGCGTATGTTACGACTCTGCCATCAGACCCTCAACCCTCTCGACTAACTCTTGTAGTAATCGCCGTCATGATTCACCGTGGCTACAATGGTCTGCCATCCAAACTCTCCTCGAAAGATCAATATCAGATGTGTTGATTCTTCTCGACTGTTGTGCCGGAGCAGCCAGTGCCACATTCCCGACAGGCCAAAGCATCACCGAGACCATCTCCGCTTCGAGTTGGGACGCCATCGCCCCTGATCCGGGAAGATATTCTTTCACCAACACCTTGATCGAGGTTCTTGAAGAGTGGAGAGGAAAGACATTCTCGGCCGCGATGCTGCACGCCGAGGTCCTTGCTCGTTTGAAGCATCCACGTCCCATCTTGATCAACGGCAAACACTTCGAGGCGAGATCAACACCAGTTCACTTCATGATGACGTCGAACCACAAAGCACCCAGCATCGAGATATGCCGACTGGTGCCACCAAAACCTGCCAAGTCCCGTCGTGGCATGGCATCGAGCTCAGTCCCAACGGGTCGGGACTGGCACCAGCCATTCCCATCCTCGATGGATGACATGATTCCGACGGCCTCGGAGCCGAATGAGGACGAGCCTCACGTGATGATTTCCCTGGCTCTGGAGGATGACCAGAAGCTGGATTTGAATAAGTGGGAGGAGTGGCTGGCAAGCTTTCCTGCGCTGGCGAAGTTTGTCAAGGTGCAAGGCGTCTTCAAGAGCCGATTGCGACACTTTTGTTGCTATCACTACCGGACTGATGGTGTGGGATTTTCTTCCTGACGATCCGAGCATGTTCATTTGTGGCATTCAGTTCGGTCAAACAACCTGTTGCGAGAACCAAAAGAGAGTAGTCCCGAGCCAACACCAGCTGAAGCAAGCGTCCCTGCCACCGTGACGCAGGAAGTACAACCAGAGCTCAGCCGTGAAGTCCAACCAGAGCTCGCCCAGGACGACTGCCGAATCCTATTCCGGATCTACCCTCGCCCAGACCGAAAACATGGAAACCGTCCGCCACGGGGCCAGCGTACCAAACATCCCCGCAGACCCCTGGACATCAACCCACCGAGCCGATTCCATGCCCTTAACCCCCTACTCCCAAGTCCTCACCCCTCAGCTCTCCTCCAGCAGCTTATTCACCTCCCTAAGAAACATAGGTGCTCAGCCATATCCCTCTCAGGCCAACAACAACAACAACAACAACAACAACCCCGCCCAGCCTCCCTCACCTCCCCCTCCCATCACACCCCCGACATAACCAGAACAATGATCCTCATACCGCTCCAAATCCTCCAAACGCTCCACTTTTTCGCCGGACGAAGAAATCCCCCCAGGCCACCAACTAGCCAAACACGTCCTCCACCGCCTAGAAGAATACTTCCACCGCGACCACCGAACCAAACCTAGCAGTACTTGAGCATTTGGCCTCCCATTTGGGGGGGGAAACGAACGACATCAGGATCTGGTTCCACAACCGCAGGAACAGCACCCGGCTGGACACCAACCTCCAGACCTTGCGCCTCCCCTCCAGCGAACCAGTCGACCCGGGTGACGAGCCAGACATGATACTCCCGGGCCATCTGAACCGCCTCTTGGAGATTTACCCCTCCAAGGGGATCTTGTTGGTTGACCTGCGCTCCAGCACCGATTTCGAACGGTCCCACATCCACAACTCCATCAATTTACGAGCCCCACTCAAGTTTATCAGTTGGGCAAGCCTGGAAATGGTAGAAGACACCTTTGTGGACGACCAATCACGACGGTCGTTCTCCAAGTGGTCGACCTGCCGCTGCGTGGTCTTTTACGACCGCGTGATAGAATTTCCATGGGAATGCCCGACTGCCTCGGCGCTGGGCAAAAAATTCGGGGAAAAGGGGTGGAAGGGAAGGTGTTTTGTGCTCAAGGGTCATTACAGGGAGTTTTCGGCCAGTTTCGATAGGTACATCTCGGGAGAAAAGATGACGCAAGAAGCGAAGGAGTATCTGGATGGGTTGAGGCAGAAAGGGGGGAGTTTGACTGAGGAGGAGGGCAGGGAGAGGGATGGGTTGTTTGAGGCCTGGTTGGAGGGGTGGGGGGGGAAGGGTAAGGGGAAGGGGAGTAAGGGGAATGAGCTGGTGCCTGGGAGGAAGGTGGAACGACTCAGGGAGGTGGAGGAGAGGCAGGGGGAGTTGGAGAGGGAGTTTGAGGGGCGGTTTCCGGCGCTGTGGAGGAAGGGGTTGATGATGGGGATGATGAGGAAGGATTCTGCTGCTGTGCTACCGGGGGAGGAGGGGGGGTACTCCCCCATCGCGCCGAGTGTGAGTCCGCCTCCGCCGTTTGAGTCGGGAGGAGGACAACAGGGGTTCAAGGATGTGGAGTGGCAGAAGAGGAAGGGGATCGAGGAGGAAGGGGAGGCGGTGTTTGTGGGGCCGTTGGCGAGGGGGTTGGAGAGGATGAGGGAGGCGGGGATGGGGTTGGGGAGTCAGACTCCTTCTCCAACCAGCGGGACTCCTGTCGGGGATCTGAAGGGGAAGATGATGGGGTTTGACTATGAGTATACCTCTGGAGTCACCGAGGAAGAATACGAGGAGATTGATGCTGTTCAAGAGGGCCTCACTCCCGCCACTGCCACGGGCGACATCAAAGGTGGTGGAGGAGGAGGAGTAATAAACAAGGTGGTCAAGAAACGAGGGGTGGTGAGGGAGTGGTTGAGGGGTGGGACGGGGAATAAGTAGATGCGAGATGTGATGATGTGTTATGAACTGTTTTTCTTTTGAATATCTTTAGGTTAGGGGTATATATCACACCGAATAAGAATACACCTGAGTTCAACAGTCTACCTTGTATATACTATTTCCTACTTATCCCATCCACACATCGACCTCCTTTTTTTTTCAACATCAATCAGTCTTTCGTCTCATCTATACACATACCCTTACATACCTACACCAGAGCCTCACATAGTCTAGCTGCCCCAGCACCCCTACTGGTGCTTGTGCTGATTTC